AAGATTCGTTTATGACTTTTGCGAGTGCTGTATTGAGGCGAGCGTAGGGTTGCCTCTGAGTGAGGGTTACTAGATAAGGCGGTGAAACAGTTGACAAATAAAACCGCGGCGAGTGGAGGTGCCCGGGAGTCGACAATGTGTAAAGTCGCGACCCGCTCAACCAACTACCACTGCTCAACTAAAGTTGAGGACCGCTGACCTAGAACAGATCATTCCTAAAACTTAAGTAGTAAAATTGTTCTATCTCTCTCAATTTTATATAATACTGACAATAAATTATACTCACCGCGAAATTTCTCCTTCGTTTGTGTATTTCAAGATAGAATTACAGAAAAATTGCTTGTGCGAAACACTCCAACACAAACAAAATAGGGTTAAAGTTATGAATCTATTATTCAAAATTTTTACTTTTTCTTACTTGATTTTCGAAAACAACGCTGGAGAAACGAGAAATGTCGGAATTCGAATGAAACAAACACCTCTACAGGGTCAATGGCTGGTCAGTGAAAGTACTTATTCCAAAACAAATATCACTGCATTTCTCAACAGCACTGGTTTTAAACATTATCAGTGTATCTTTAATCTCGATATCATAACATCTTCAAAAACTCTACAAGTGTCAATTATCTGAAGGAAAAAAAGTTTTTTTCTTTTTTGAGACGTATGATGTTGATTGTAATTGAATTGATTGATTACTGATTGAAGAAAAGAAATTTCAGATTTTATCTAGGATTTTTTTTTTGAAGTAGATGAGAAAGTACTGTTTTAAAAATAGTTCTTTAAAATCTATTCTTAAAAAACATAGCGATTTTTTCGCAATGAGGCCCGATGGAAATTTTATTATTAATTTCGTATCTTTATTCGTAACTAACAAATTAATATAATACATTCTAAAAGGTTCCAGATAGCATTTATACCCAAGACATAAGCCTAATATCCTACCTGAATTTAAGCTGATTTAAGATTTAAGTTACTATCTATGTTATTGCGACCCATTTTAACAGGAAAAAATATACATACAATCTTTTAACTCGTTGGAAAAGGCATCACTTTCGATTTTTGCTTCTACGCAATTGAATTTTATTTATTTTTTTTAATAGGAAGTCAATAGTTAGCCATAAATAAAAAGGTTTATTGCATAGATTTAAATATTTACATTAAATTATATGATTTAATTATATATACGCGTTTCTGTACGCCTAAATAAACCTAATGCTATTTATTTATCTTCCGCTATCTAAAAAATCAAATTACTACAATCATGCAAATAACACATTGGTTAGTAAAAAAATCATCAACCGCTTTAAAAACTATAATACAAATAATCAAACTATATATAAAAAAAAAGGAGCAATACACTCTTAAGGAAATTAACATGCCATTTATTTATTTTTCTACATCTAAAGATTAAAGTCAATAAATACATTTAAGCAATGTTGGTAGGTACTTTGTCTACGTCGTTCAAGTGTGGCACATTGGGCTATTGGCGACTGTCTGGGAAACATTCGTGAGGATGATCCGAAGATATGTCATCACAATTTTGATCCTCTGTAATTGATGGCTCCCCTTCTTTGTCGGGCGCAAAGTCGAGTACTTTACGGTAGAACAAGGATCGATACCGAGCACCCTCTGTTACTATGCAGGCTGATCAAAGTCATCACCCGCCTGCTTACTGACCGCAGCCATTGATGCTTAGCTTTGGTGTTCTACTGGGAACCGTGTCCTTACGATCAGCCCACTGCTGGAGACATTTAAATTCAATTCTTGGCATGAAAATACCATACGGGCCACTCTAAAAGTTGCAATCATGCAACCTTTAAAGCGGCCCGTTTGGTGTTTTTTCCAACAAATTTAAAATTTAATAATTATCGAACGATATTTTTTTTTATTCTATTGTACTCGAATGCTACACTTTTCTACTCATCTTCATAATTTTAAATTTCTAATTCTTTTATTTTTTTTTTTTTTTTTTTTCCGCTGCAAACGAAATGTAACGTTAAATTGAACACCCAAAATAGCGTCGGCGACTTCTACAAACGTTAAATTTGGAGAGAAAGAATTCAATTAATTAAAAGGTGAAACGCGTTTTACGAGGAAAGGATTGACACAGCACGAAGTTGAAAAATAGTAACTCCTCATGCAACTAATTGGAATAACAAAAATAAATTATGCATTTGAAAGAAATCTAATAAATAAACGCTAAGCAGGATTTGGTTAGACAAATCTTTATCTTCAGAAAAACATAGCTGACACGGTCGCCTGATAAGCGTAAGAATTATAAGTTTGGAACAGACGAGTTTAAAGTAATAAATATATATTTAAGTTATAGTTCAATGTAGATTTATAAACATTAAATATAAGGACGATTTAAAAATAAGAAAAGATAAAAATTTGAGTTAGTATTGACCCTTCCAATGAGTCCACAATCATAGTAATTCCAAACTAGGCTTTGCACCTGTTAGATTATAAGATTCACCTAGTCCCATTCTAAAGATAGATAATAACGGCGCCGAATGATAGGAGTATTCGAATTGACAACCTGTGCAATTTTCGAAATTCTTCAGCAACAGTTATAGTGATTAACGGTCTGTAGGGTACAAATCTACCTTAGGAAGTTAAAACTATTCAAAAGTGATATTATTTAAGAAAAGGTAGATTACAACGGCGCCGAATGATAAAGGATCTCATTCCATTAAGAGCACTGCTTCTCAGCCACTGGTCAAATTATTTTTCATTGTTAGAGAGTATGTGAATGATCAGAAACAAACTGATAAAAAAAATTCTGTAAGTGCCACTATTTTGTATGCGTAAGAGTTACGCCAAAAGCTCAAATTCCTAACCTTGCCAGTTGGCAATAAAACACAGAAATATTGTAGCGATCCTTCAAATAAATAGGGTTTTTTTTTCCGTTGTTGAACAATCAACCTAATTTTGAGTTTACGACTACCTATGTTCAATTCCGTAACCTCGTAATTTTGAATCCAATCCAGAAGACCGGGGAATTCCTAGATCAAGTAATGGGAGAAAGTTGCTTTTGAGGATGCCTTTTTGATGAAACTAACCTGCATTTGCGTTATATCGAAAAGGAAATCACGAAAACCACCCACGATTAGTCTGACGGCAAGGGAACTATAACTCATAATCCGTCTACTACTTAGAATATTTTACGTCAGCACTGTGGTCTGTGCAAGTAGAGTGTAGAATTCGAATCGAATAGCCATCACTGGGATTCAAACCTGGGTCATCTCATTGGAAGGCGTGTGCCCTATCCCCAAAGTCACTATAGCTCTGAATAAATAGTGTTGAAGAACGCTACTCCAGAGCTTATTAAAATATACTGTATTTCGACAATGAGAATTAAAGCAAACGTAGTCAAATTTATTATTTACTTGAAAGCAGAGAAATTATTCAAGAAAACTTGCACTTCTCTTAGCCCTTTTACGCAGATGAGACACCAGTATTCCTTTGATATATTTTTTTTCTTACATTCTAATTACAAGGGAAAATATACTTTAGTATTTTTCAATTAAAAAAAAAAGTTTAACAGTTTCTAAAAAAAGCTGTTAGATTATCGGAATTTTATTTGTACTAAAATATAAACTCCGAAAAAAGTAGTTAGAAAAAAAAATTTCATTCATATTCAAAAAATTATCTGTAAAGATTTTGTAAATTAAAGAAATTTCAATAATGAATAACTATTTCTCTTAGATCTAAATAACTGCAAATTAGTGCAAATATGAGAAATTATTATTTATAGAAATGAGCAATGTTTACCTTTAACGCAGAAAAAAACACTGGTGTTTCATCCGGTATTTCATAATCATAAACTATTAAAATACCATCTATAATAATTTTCATTTATTTCGTCCTAAATGCAAAATAATGAAAAAATTATAAAAAAATATGTTTGCAAAAATTCTGAGACAAATAGTTAATTTTCCACTAAAACCGCATTTGTAACAGGGTTCAAATGTTAAAAAGTGGATGAACAGTATTAATCTATTCTTAAAGAATTCTAAAGTGTGAAATAGTTTCCTTTAAATTATTTGCGTTGTATGAGCAACTATTAAATGGACTCATAAAGTATATACCCTGACCGATCTTTCCTCTTGTAAAAATCGAGATACAAAATACATGCACTTATTTTTTTAAGAATTTAGTAGCCCAGTGAACTTGGTCAACTAGCATTTACATAATTTATATTCGTGGAAAATTCAAAAATTTAGTATGCATTCTTAATATATACACAATTTTTTATTCGTTTGTGTCGAGTATAGATTATTAAAAATTGTTTATTTTATAAAATTATTAGAATGTAAAAAATTAAAAATATTAAAAAAAAAATTCTGAGATATGGATGTTAGAGAAGAAGAAGAAAACTACATAATTTTAAATTTAATAATATATATATATATAAATTAATCACTATAAATTAATTCAAAAAGGCTAATTTTTTTTTTTTAAGATTTTCCAAGCTATCAAACAAAACATTGAAAATAAACCGAGAATTTACTTTTATTAAAATAAAATGAAGTTATGTGGTTAATAATAATTTATTCAATTATGATATAAATAGGTTTTTTAAAGGAAATAGCTATTCTTTTAACAGTCTTCCAAGAAATTAAACTTAATCAGAGGAAATAAAGTGACGATTTACTTTTTTTGGAATAATACGAAAATTCGTGATTAAATCATATGCTATCAATTAGACAATCATAAAGTTAATTGATCTGCATTTATAAACTGTAAAATTCACCAAAATTCAAAATAAAATTATAATTTACTTTTTATTGGAAACAATGACATAAAATAAATCGTGGAACTTTCAAAATCGAAAAAAAACAAGCTTCAATTTAAAGTTAAATCATGTATATTTCCAAGCTGTCAATTACTCAAGATAGCAGATCAAGAAAAGATTATCTTATAACATTTTTTTTTTAAAAATTCATCTAAAGAATTATTTATATCACGTTGTTAAAATATAAACAAAATTAACTTACCTTTCCTTAAATTCTTTCGAATGTATGTATCTTTGATGTTCACCTATTGAGCAAGAGGGGATGTAGGATCGAATGCATGCCCGACATAAGTCTACTTCTTTGATCTGACCCTGACCTTTCGTTCCCTTCTTTTCTGAGATCTACTCCCTTATAAGAGCCTCCTTTTTTTCGTTATCGCCAATCTCAGAAAGTTTACCAGTACCATTCGCTTATCGCATACACTTTTCCCCCCTTCATGCTAAAGTTCACATGACCAACCCACAGATATAATATTGTTTACTGATGCCCTTTTTTTCTTCCTAAAATCGATCGATTATTCAATAATTAAAATTAGTTATTTTATGATCGATATTACATCTCTTTTTTTCTCAATTATTAAAAGTTTCTGTTGCCCTTAACCGATGTTTCAGAAAATTTTCACCGACAGTGACTTCTCACTGTCATACCTCAAAAATTTTTATATGAAACAATATAAAATTTTGCATTTTTTCTTTTTCTTTTTTAGTAATGCTATTGATACAGTCAGTAATTGAATTATTTTATGTCAAAATTGAAGATTGTGCTTTTTTTGCGCAGCGTATTTTAGTTCAGCGAAAACCATTAGCAGAGGATTTTATTTTATTTCTTAAACCGTCGTTGAGCATTCGACCCAATTTTGGATTTACGAATATATGTTCAGTTCCGTAGCCTTGTAATTTTGAACTCAATCCAGAAGACAAGGAAGCTCCTGGATCAAATATAGGGAGAAATTTGCCTTCGTGGAGGACTTTCTGATGGAACTAACCCGCATTTGCGTTACAGGGAGAGGAAAACCACAAAAATCTCTCACACTCAGTCTGACTTCAAAGGAATCCCCATGATCCGATCTACCACAGAGGATACTTTACGTAAGCACTTTGGTCGGTGCGAGCCGGATGTGGAATTCATATCGATCAGCCATTGCTGGGATTCGAATCCGGATCACCTCATTGGAAGGTGAGCGCTCTATCCCCTGAGCTACGACGGCTTTACTACCAGAGAATTAAGATTGTAAAATGATCGTAAAAAAGTCATTAAAATTGCAATAACTTTCGTAAAAATTAGAATTTAAAAGAAGAAAAAAAAAAAAAAACTCCGTGTTGAGTTTTAAAAAAAATATGGCTTTTTCAGCATTCTTGCGGTCTGCAGTGCGGCACGCATGATACTTTTTGCTACAAGTTCAACAGTTGATAGTTGTCGAACTAATAATCAAATGTTAATTGTTTTATCCCCTCAGTACTCACTGTACATTTTTTTACACACCTACCGCAATTTGAAATTTCTAAATCTTATAGTAACTGCGCAGCTAAACAAAGTTCAAAATTGAACACTCAATACTGCAGCGGTCTTGTAAGATTTTTCATTATCGAAAGATAATATTTTCGACAACTAAGTGTAATTAATAATTTATTAAATACAATTAGATGTTTAATTATTAACAATAAAAAAATAAGGACAGTTTGCTCCTGGTGTTTTAAAAATGGAGTTGAACACACAAAGACACCACCACCTTCAATAGCTTAGAATCCAGCTATGCTTAAATCCAGCCCTGCTTCCAGTTGATTTTCCATAGTTAGAACCCTAATTATTTTCCAAAAACTGTGTCACCATATTATCGGATTGAGTAAATTTTTTCCGCCAAGGAGAGATACATCCGAACCAACAGCAGCCATTCCCGTAGTAGTAAACCTTTCTCCAAACTAGATTTTGCATTCTAAAGCTGAAAATTGGAACTACACAACTGTGTAATTTGTTTGTCAAAACTTTATTATCTTGTACACCAAAAAAGTGTTTAACATAAAGCTATCACGTCAACATATCAGAACGATTATGAACTAGGAGTTCCGAAATAAACCCAAAGCAATTGGATGCCCCAAAAAATATGTGAAAGTTTAGGTTTCAATACTGTTTCTTGTGATACAGTAAAAATTTGCTTTCGAAAGTTTAAAGCTGGGATTTCGACATTGAAAATGAATTACATTTAATGAAAAAGGTAGAAAAACCATTACTTCAATGATTATGTAGGAACATTATAAAGGTCAGCAATATTTGTAAGACTGGTTAAGACTAAACAGGATTATTTAAAGGGAAATTTTGAATGACACATCCCTACTCTATCTAGATGTAAATTTCATTTAACAATTTTTTTTCAATGCCCACCACATCTAGCAACTATATATCAACGTGGTACTTAAAGGGCGGTCCTCTTTTTCGTGCGCAACATACAGGTTTATCAACGGTACTCCAACAACAGGAGGAAGATAGATAGAACAGAGAGAAATTACATTCATGCCCGAAGCAGAAATCGAACCCGAGACCTTTCTGACGTGAGGTTTGCTTCCTGACCACCATACTAGCCTGTTGGCATTATTGAACACCCTACTCCAGAAAATAAAGCAATAAGCTAACTTGTATTGATTACTTTGGTTGTTCTTAATTTCTTCAGAAATTAAGAGAGCTAGTGTAATTAATAAAAATTAATATTTATGAGCGATAGTCAAAATAATTGACCACACTTGTTTTGATTAAAATATGAGACACTTTTTTTTCGCTATATAATGATAAAAATTTTATTATCAATCAATATTTATTTGACCCAAAAGATGTTGTTGTTGTAGTTCATTTACGTCGTACTAGAGCTGCACAATGGGCTATTGGCGACGGTCTGGGAAACATCCCTGAGGATGATCCGGAGACATGCCATCACAATTTTGATCCTCTGCGGAGGGGATGGCACCCCCGCTTCGGTAGCCCGACGACCTGCACGCGAAGTCGAGCACTTTACGGTAGCACAGTTTAACGAGGACCAATACCGCACACCCTCGGTCCCTACGCAAACTAATCCAAGTGGTCACCCACCCGCACACTGACCGCAACCAGTGATGCTTGACTTCGGTGATCTGCTGGGAACCGTGTCTTAGCGATCGGTCCACTGCGGGACAGACCCAAAAGAGTTCGACGCACTTAAATATAAATTTTCATTATCGATTACATTTGCATATATTTTATCTTTCTACAACGATGCAGGATTCATTATGAACCTCATTAATAATACATAATTTCTCAAAATAAAGATTTCACTTTTACCCTTTTATTAAGTGTTAGTAACCGTATCTTATATTCCAAGAAATTTAGAAATACCGGGTCCGAAAATCCAGTTATGTAAAATTGAATCATTTATCAAGCCGGTTACGGGTACTATACAAAAATTTTAAATTACTCAACTGGTTTTGGGTACCCGATTAAATTTTGATTTATTACCCGACAGGGTTTTATAACATTTTCGTAAAACATTATAAAAACAGCATAATTTTCTATCGAACTAACATTTTTAAAAATATAATTCTAAGGAAATTTATTGTGCCCTCATAACATGCATGATTTAATTTTTAGTTTATTTTTTTCATGCACCCAGTATTTTATTTCCATCCCCCCCCCCATTTAAACGTTAATATTTTCCACAAAAACCCAAAGGAATTTGTCTTCGAAATATACAATAGTTGTAGCTCTATGTAAGACCATTTTGTTTTATGTTAATTGTAACGAATATTAATCGATTGCAAAATATAATCAATAACATGAGGAATACTAACTGTGAGACACAATAAAAAAAAAAGTAAGTTTACTCGTTGACTAGACTTGTAACAATTCAAACAGGGAACGATTTTTAACATTCATTATAAAGTTTTTTTCCTCAAAAATTTCAATCTCAATGAGCTAAGATTTATAGATAGCAACACGTAATCTCTCTCATTTTTGTACTTACTGTAGATTTCTACTAGAGAATGATATTTATGATATGAAGATTTCGTGTGAGTTTTTGTACTCTCGTGTGAATCTTTTCTCATACTTATAAAATAAATATATCGTGTGAGTGTTTGTTTCGTTCTCTCGTTTTTGTACTTATTGTTGATTTCTACTAGAGAATGATATAATGCTTATGAAATAAAGATTTTGTGAGAGAGAAAAAAAAATTCAACAATAGGTGTTAATATTAAATAATAATAATAATCACGTAAAAGCACCTTTAGGGCTCACACATTCTAGTGAGGGGGGCGATAGGTTTATACTCCCTCAACAATTAGAAATTTTAAAAAGTCTCCCTCGTTATTTCAGACAAAAAAAATTCTTCAGGAAATATGAATTAAAATTTCTCCAAGTAAAAAACAATAAAAGAATAAAAAATAATATAAAACGCTAATACGTACGTATGTATGTATGTATCAATAAAACCGATGATATTTCTTTTCTCGCGCTGGCAACAGTTTTCATTTTTAATTGATTGGATTCGGCGCGCAAGAGCACGTAGTGAGCAACCAGATAACAATAACCAGAGTGAGCATTATCAGGTTGTTCAATTCAAATTCATGCACTAAAACATGACAATATTTTATTTAAACTTTTTATTAAACTTATAAACTTATAACTTTTATAAAATTTATTAAACTTTTTATTTTATTTAATTAATTAATTGAAGTGAGAATACTTTAAAAGGCCGCTGTTGAATTGATATTTTTTCTACAGGGAGCTCCCCAAACGTCTAAAAAACGTTTAAGTGTTTGTATTGAATGCATTGAATTTTTTTATATTTCGCGTTTATTTATGCATTGAATTTTCACGCTTTAAAATGCAGAATATTAGTGAAGCAATATTTGATAATTTATTTTGCTAATATGTTTCTTATTTAGCTAATGTTTTGATTTTTTCACCATGTACAATCTAAATAGCTAATATACTTTTTTAAAAGCCAATAAGAACATTGGTAGAANCTTATTCCCACACATCAAAAATAAATTACGTGGACAACGATTTTCGACCCCCGAAGAAGCGGTTGATGCATTCAAAACGCATGTTTTGGAGTTACCTCAATCGGACTGGAAAAAGTGCTTTGAAAATTGGTTCAAACGCATGCAAAAGTGTATTGATCATCATGGAGAATATTTTGAAAAGCAATAAAACCAATTTCGATCCTACATATTTGTTTTTTCATTATTAGGCCAGAAATATATATAGCAACCCTCGTATTAAGTGTTAGTAACCGTATCTTATATTCCAAGAAACTTAGAAATACCGGGTCCGAAAATCCAGTTATGTAAAATTGAATCATTTATCAAGCCGGTTACGGGTACTATACAAAAATTTTAAATTACTCAACTGGTTTTGGGTACCCGATTAAATTTTGATTTATTACCGGACAGGGTTATAAAACCATTTTCGTAAAACAGCCGATAGGCTTATACTCCCTCAACAATTAGAAATTTTAAAAAGCCTCCCTCATTATTTCAGACAAAAAAAATTCTTCAGGAATTATGAATTAAAATTTCTCCAAGTAAAAAACAAGAAAAGAATAAAAAATAAATCCCTATATGTGATGCTTAGAGAACTTTAACTGCTATGTAATTTAATCTCACTCCCTTCAATAAAGGAGTCTCAGCAAAAGAAACGAAGTTTAAAAATAGGACCAATTATAGTTATACTAAGAAGTTACAATAAATTTATTCTTTATAAACTTATACCGCGCTTATTTATTCTTTATAAAGAATTCTTAACAAACTTATACCGCGGTTTACACAAAAAAAGATGCTGCACAGTGGTGTCATCTATGGTAAATAAACTTAATTATAATCTAGCCTATCCATTTTTACTAGAACGGATCTGACGGACATTCGAATTAAAATAAAGCGAAATACAAGATTGACCTGACCTTGTGCAATAACTTTCGCTCCGATACGGACAAATGCGTTAAGAAGCTTGGTAGTCGTTGGTCTTCCTGTAACTAGCATGGGGAAGAGAACTTTCTCCAAGTTAAAATATTAGTCCCACAATTCTTGAATACTCATTGTACAACATAGTCAGGGTTGCCACTCAAATCTGGGAAAAAAATTCCCTGTACATGTTATACGCAATATATTAAGAGAAAACAACAATTACTCTGCTCTTGTGTGAGCTATATTGGGTTAACTATATTTATTAGGTTCAATTGCTGAAAAAATAGCTGAACATACTTAAATAATGCTACGGTAAATGAAGTAGTTTAGTATAGTATCATGGTTAAATATTCCATAGATTACGCTTTGAGTGGTCACCATTTTTTAAAAGACCAAAATAAAAATAAAAACAAAATTCCCTGTATTTTTCCAGTTTGTAAAGAAAAACTCAAATTTCCCTGGATTTTCCGTTATTTAAGGTGATTTTTAAATTCCCTGTATTTTCCAGGTTTTCTCTATGGAGAGGCAACCCTGATAATGAAGATACATCAATGGCTTCAGTACAGTACGAGAACAACTGGGTATAATATAAAAAAAACACAACTACTTCCACTCCAAAAATTTTACTAGGAATATTTACCTTTTAGTTTAATTAATAAGCTGAGTTTTAAATATGTTTACTAAATTCATAAACTTAGATAAAACAACAAAATAAATTATTTCAAAAGGAACTAGACTAATACATTTCCAACCTGACGAGTTGCGACTCATAACACATTTCGTTTAATGTTTACTTGTCGCTAGAAATCAGGTTCGCAGGTAAATGCTGTTTACTTGTTAAATTTAGTAGGAATAACACGACCTGTGTACCTATCGTTAGTTTTTTTAGTAGGATATAGTATACCCAATTGGGAAAAATTGTTCGACACCGACACACAAGTTCGAGTGCACCGCAACCTTTAACATTTTCAAATCATTCGAAGTGGACGCTATATGCAACGTTATAGAACTAAAACAGCGGTGACCCTTACGATTTCTTAAAGGAGTTCCAAGATATATGGAATGATTACTCAAAAGTAGAAGGAATAAAGAAAAACTTTTCTATGCTGATCCATCCATATAACTGTTGCTTTCATTTAAGAATTAAATTTTAGAAAATTGCCTTAATTTTATTTATTAAAGAACCAGGTGCCTCATCCCACAGGCGACTGCCCAGTCTATTATTATTCACCTAAATGAACGAATTTTTCTCCATGCTTATTTATAAAATAAAATAACATACTTCACATTCAATATTCTCACCAAGTTTCAAAATATACTCAAGTATTCAAAACAAGATTCATAAGTTTAGTTTACTACACGGAAAAGGCGTTTTGAAAAGAAAAAATTTTCTTTCAACTGAGGTTTTTAACAGTAAATTAAAAAATTTACAAGCGGTCAACAAAACCAAAATTTGAACCCTGGAACTGTCAAGTTAGATGAATACATAGACCATATTTTAAAAGTACAATTGCTATCAAAACATAACTAGTACCGAAAAATTATTTCCTCACACCAATATTTTATTCAATCAGATAATTGTCTTTTACCTTAAAAAAAGCTGCATCTAACTTACTGAGTGTTCCATAAATTTGAAAATTCTTAGTCTCAGTAAGTGGAATGTTAAGTAGTGATACACCACACTCAACAAGACCTCACTCAGATAACTTCATCTCTAGTTAATACAGAGAACCTTTAAATAATTAAAAATGGAAGCACCTTATCTCAAAAAAAATTTTCAACAGCTTCAGAAAACTAACTTACAATTATTTCATTGATGTGCTGCTTTCTTTGAACTTTCATTAAACCTAAAATATTTCAAAAAACCTGAACTAAATACTGTACATTTTTATTGATTTTCAAAGAGTAAATGGCAAAACTATCATGGTGTAATTTTTTATTGTAAAGGATTGTAAAATACCAAATTAATTTTATAATTACTTAGCTTTAAGCTTTACCAGCTGCATCCAATAAATCTTTCATAATGAGCATGAACTTTTTAAGAGCATTAAGTCAGATTAAAAAAAAATTTAGTTGTGACATCTAACATTTTAAAAACTACAATACAAGATTCTGAATCGCATTGCGTCATGAAATGAAAATTGCTCAAAAGTTCAAATCCTGCATGCTGGTACCATACCTGTTAAGCTCAGCTAAGTAATTTTTTTACTATCATATATTGAGGGTAACTGCTACATATTAGATTTTGAAATCCATGACTATCCAAGAATTTTTCACGACTTTAAGTTACTATTTTCTTCGAAAATAAATTTAAAAAAAAAACATTATAATAAACATTAACTGATATGATAGGTAGAACCAAAACTTTTATTCCGCATCTTAGTAGATTTTAAATATAAAAAAACAGTAAAGAGTTAAAGCAATAAGAAGAGATTAAAAAAATTCAAAAGCAAAGTTTTTTTCTGCAGAGTTATTCTTAAGATACTTTTCTTGTTCATCGAAAAATTAAATTATCTTGGATTTTTCTGTTCTTATTTCGGAATTTAAAAAATTCACTTATGACTGGCTTGCTTCAGCTAGAATTTTATACAATAAAAGTTGTGATATCACAGATTAGGTTCCCTTTTATTTCTTTAAAGAACACCATAATTTTTCAAGAACAGGATAAAAACAAATTTTATTCAAATATGACTGAGTGGGGATTTTTTTACAAATTCGGATTTTTTTGGAATATCATGAAATTGCAGGAGGGGGTAAATTCAATTATAAAAATCAGACTTTTCGGCAATCTAAATCAATGCATTTTCACAAATCTTTTTAAAAGTTATTAAAATCATGACTAAACTTGTTCAATACCGAAAGTATGTATTTATTCTATTTCATGTAGCACTATTAACCAGGATAAAAAAAAAATTTATCTATAAGAATAATTTCAAAACCATTTTGAAAGTCATATCTATATTAAAAAATAAAATCCTAAAATTTGGAATGAAGTCCTTTTCAGTGGTATTTCAGGACAACTGATCATCCTTCATTCACACTTTCCTTTCAGGTTCCACAGCAGTTATTTGATCACTTCATTGTTAAGTCTTCTACTTATTAAGTGAAAAGGAAAAAAAAAAACAGATTATTTTCCTACTTAAGTTAAAATTCATGTTAATTGCTAGTTTCATATTTGTGAAATTAAAATTCAGTAATGAATTTCTAAATTATCTTCATGTATTTTTTCATTAACAATAGCCGTAAAACTGCAAAATGAAAAACAAAATTAATACAAAAAAACTAAGTTTATTCATATAATAATAGTTACATTCTTTGCTCTCACTTAACATGCAACATAAGCATATGAGCATGTTTTACAACAGAGAACAGTACATGATCACATAACAATACTCATATTAGCAAAATTACAGATGACAGCTATAAGAGCTGTTCCTCACAATCTTCTTAACGTTTCCTGAAAAACCTAGCCACCTTACCAATGACTTTCACTGTCACCTTACCAATGACATTTCAATAACCTCGTCACCTTACCAATGACAACACTTCACAAAACAAAAATTCTTAACTAAATAGGAATTAAAGAAACTTTTCAACTCACCATTTATTATGTGTATCCTCTTCTCTGTTCTTGATCTTCATTGCGAGACAAGCGGGTTTGTGGCGGAATTTGCGAGACGCGATAACGGCACTAAAAGGCTTATGTTCAAGTAGATCAATAACATGTGACATAAATATACAAACCCAAGGGAAGGTTTAAAATACATTGAGCATTCAAAATTTTAAAAATATTACATAGTATTTCATACAATCAGTAACTTACTTTAAAATATACAAGAAATTGCACTGCACGTTAATTTGTCAAGCCTTATAAAAATCTAATTACTGTAACAAATTTCCATTATTACGGAAATTAATTTCTAGATATTAACAAAATGAAAGTCCAGCTATTATAATAAGAAATCCAGCTATTTTAATTTTAAAAATATTAAGAACTATTTTAACAGAAATCAAATGTTCAAGCAATTAAATTAAAAATTTGAAAAGGAGACAAATCAACACACAATAGAAATCATGTCATGTCTTATAACCTACTTCCAATTATGCAGGGAGTTTTGAATCATGTACAGATATTTACATACTATTACAAAAGATTAATTTTTTATTTAAGTTACTGTTAACAGATTTAATTAAATAAAAATGACTAGTCATATAATTAAATTCTACAAAAGACATTTTAAAAAATTAAATCTACAAAAGAAAAATTTTAGAGTAGTAGATTCTGAGATTGCATGATAGCAATTGAACCCACTGATATTGATTTAGTCTGAAAATAATTTGAGTAAAGGCTAATTTTGTAACAATTTCATTTTAAGTTTCACACTTGACAACATTTGAAATTGAAGTTCTGTTATGAATATTTCAAACCCAACATAGGAGAAATAGGTTTTAAGAAAGAATCAATGATAAGTATAAGTATTTTAAATGAAATCAAGAAGTGGTTATTTAGTTTTCTAAATAATTTAAAAATTAAATCCTGCATGCCTCCCTACTATCTGAAACAAAATTTCACATTAGGGAGTTCTGGAGAATATCTCTAGAAATGCTCAACATATCCATAGCTTAATCTTTATCAGGCAAAATTAACTTAAGATTAATATTTTTCATTAACTGTTTAAAAATTGTTAATGCTAGTTAATTTAATCAAAAGCAAAAATCAAGATTACCTTTATAGAAAAATTTAAGGTATGAATTTAATATACTTAATTTCAAAAAGATTCAGAATTAGAACATAATAGAATTGCTAACTTCCTAGAGAAACAAATAGGCAATTGTTTACCAGAATTGTTTTAACTACCCTAAGACAAAATTTGCAGATCAAATTTTATATGCAGAATACGGTTAATGAGATACAAAAAATAAAATAGGTGGTGTAAAGGCTAACTCCAAGATAAAATTTTTTTTTAAAAATAAGGCTTCATTTTTCTTGTTTTAGATTGATAATTTGAAAGATATTTTAAATATTAATAAATATAAAAATTTAATAATTTTTTAAAAAACTTACAATTTAATAACTTTTAAGTTCTTTAATTATCAAACTTGCCAACCCACCTAACTGAAAAATTTGGGAAATTTCACAGAAGCCGGAAATTTTCGCATGAAAATACAGAAAATTAAAATTCTCCTAAATGAGTAATGTATACCTTTGTCATATCTTATGAAATTTTAATACTAACATAGCAAAGCACTAATCAATAAAATTAATCAGTCAAGAGACATTTTATTTAAACAAAAACATTCAAAAAGATTTCTACAGAAAAAAAAATTTGACTATCTTTTTCTGAGTAATAAATACCTGCATAAAATATAATTGTTTAAACTGAATGATTAATGATTTGTTTTTTAAATAATGCAGACATGAACCACATTTTATTTTCAAATCATTAAGTGCAACTGTTCAATATTGCCAAAATGAATCACTATTTACCAAGTTAAAATCATGTGCGTTGATGTTTAGAAACATGAAATTCTTTGAACTATATGATAACAAATCTTGCAATTTATTAATTGCCTAAATAGGAATAATGATGGTACAAATTTGAAACATTTTAATAAAAATCACAGTATAATGACTATATATGGTTTTAATAATACTATTACAAACCGCATCTTTCTACCTTTTTAATCTTTTTCTCTAAAGAGCAAGAAGGAGAGCTGGCAAGTATAAAATGTAGTTAGTTTCAATTTCACAGAAACTAAACTTCAATTTCCCAAAAACCTTTTAAGCCACCTATATGAAAAGTAAACCCTTCTTGATTTCATTTAAAAATTTTAAAGTTTCTTTTTTAGACAGATAGTTACCTTGCTGTTGTTGTGAGTCTTGAGATAGTAGGGCCGAGTCATCTTGATAACTCGGTCCAGCATCTCCGTATACAACCATTGCATTTTCATTACTATGAGATGGGCCGGCAACAGGTGAAACAGGTGGATCTAATTCTAAAAGTTCAGGTTTAATATCTGAAACAAAAAAGTAAAAGAATTAAATTATTTGATCAAAAATCACATATCAGAATACAGATACTGAAATAGGTAAGATATTCAGCAGAAAGTTATTGCTCGAATCACTTAGATTAAGTTTCAAGCAATATTTTTTAGTTAACTGATTAAAATGTTATTTCTTTAGGCACTGTTTATTGGAAAATTTGAAACATCAAGAATATTGCTAACAAAAAATTCATTGTTGTCAACTCTGGGGATATTACTATATCATGATCAGCCACACTAGTCACTAAGATGCCTAATAGATTTCAAACTAGCAAATCTATAAAAATAAAGATGTTAAAGTTCGATGGGAGGGGGGATAAGCTACAATACTTTTAAGAGTGAAAACCTTTTCTGTAATGATGCTGCTCTTGAAGTCAGCACAACTAGGTGATTATTCTAACATAGGTCAATAGCTCAATTCAATGGAAAAAATCATGATTAAATTTTTTTCACGTTGTTATTAATTCATTCTCATTTTGTACATTTAAAGAAAAATCGCAAAAACCATAGCAACAATTGTTGGAAAAAGAGACAAAAGATATAAAATAGTTGCCATCATCATATCTTCCTCTAACAAAATTTTAATATCAAATTCAAATAATATGAAGTTAGATACTCTAACTCATATATTATAAAAAATGCACATTTATATGTACACATTTGTTTGTACATAAAAACAAGTTTAAAATTAAAAAATTTTTTGATTATTTTTCGATAATTAAGATCCCCAAATTAACTAATATAACACAAAACCAATTAAAAAGCTATATATTTCATATCTAGTTATAAGGGGGAATGAAAAAAGGAAAACTTATTAATCTAAATAAAAACAATACTTTAAAATTATCAAATGGAAACATTAAAAAAAGGCACTAACAGCATTCATTGATATGCACTTTCTTAAATCAACATGCCACTCCATTATGTTTAATGAGGGCAGCTTATTAGAAAAACTGACACAGGAGAAAATAAAACATTTGTCTTTTCTAGCCTACTCTGAATCTTATTCTTTCACACTACTCATAAAAACAGGAAATTTTATTTCTATCAGCTATGGAACAGGTTGATTTGTAACTTGCTTCCCTTCTCAGTTCTAATTTGCAGCTGCTTAGTTTATAAACATTAAAAAAAGTCTGTTTTATTTATTTTTCATAACTGACACATTTCCTAATTTAACGCTCATCACAAAAAAATTACTATTACAATTCAACAAAACGAATATCACCATGTACCTTTTTTTCTATTGTAAATCACTGTAAATTTGTATGACTATTTTTTTATTATTGATACTTCATTCAAATTAAAAGAGGAAAAAAAAACCCTAAGATATTACATTAGCTTCCTGTAGTGGGAGCATTCACATAGCGTGAATTCCAATACCCTTAGTCTGATTGGTTAAAATGTAAGATGTCTATCCAGCTTTTGACATTAAACAGTGAGGAAGAAATAAAGTTTGGATAAAATGAAAGCACAGCAAAAATGGGAGAAGGGGGGAAACTCATTTGAGGGTACAATATTCATTTATTAATTCTTGATTAAAGGAAATGTATAATATTTTAAGACTTATATTAGCATTAGTTTAATTACACTATAATAGTATGCACTATATATGCTATAGTATGCAAAGAATTACATCAAAAAAATTTTTTTTGCAAAGATGCTTTAGTAGCACCTTTTGCTTTTACTAAAAATTCTTTCAAAAAAGTCTACCTTCTTTAGACTTAATTATTAAAAGTTTTTCGAGAGTCTCATCAGACATCAATGAGCGGAATTGAGTCCTACTTTTTTTACAACAGAAAACATCCTTTCGCATTCAGCATTGCTGTGGGGTATAGTAATACAGTCTGACTTAAAGAAAATACTAGCTATCGGGCAGATGGGTAAAATGCAGATCTTATCTTCTGCGAAGAAAAGCAGAAAAAATAGCTAAAATAAGCAAAAATGCAGAAGGGTTGGCAGCTATGCTATTCATTTGAGTCACTTTTCAGCTTCAAAGAGTCTGATTTTACGCAATTCATAACAAATTGGTCGCTTTTACTCATACTTCTACTAAAATAGTCGCCATAGTTGCTATTGTTTTAAAACAGTATTTAGTCGCCCTGTTTTAACCTTGGAAATTTCACTTCTTTAAAATGCATTAGAAATATTTTAAAAATGCAGTGACTAATGGTGCTAAAATAAATTTTTTCATAACAAAAAAGAAATCAATGATATCTAAATAAGAAAAATTCAAAGAGAAGTTACACATAGTGAAATGACTAAGTAAACCTTGTTTCAATAAATAAAATAAAATTTAGGAAATATTAAACTAAGGGATAGGGTTAATATTTTGATCTATTACCTGGTGGACTTGACGGCTGCTGACTCGTTTCATCAGATGCAAGGGGTGTAGGAACTATACTCATGCCCATGGAATGATCTGTGCTACTTTTTGGCCTCCTCTGAGGTTCAGATGAAGATGACATTGTAGATAGCCTACTTCTCCTAGCCTGAAAATTAACAGTTTTATTAATACAATATATACCACAACATTACAAATCATACTAAAAAAAGGTTACTGAAACCAACCTCTTCTGTCGTTAGAGTTTGTTGCAGCAGTTTGGCTGGCTCTACACCAAATTCACTTTCATTTTCAGATGCTCCTCCTTCCATATGGAGGTCTTGTGATGAGGCTACAGATGAGGTTTTATGATATGAGTTTGATGAATGAGATTGCAAAGGCACACGTGATTGCTGTACATTTTGGAATTGTCTACTATTGTCCATTGAAATATCACCCGAAAGCTCTTCTATATCTGGAGAAGTTGGTTGTTTGATCTTAGGTTCACGCTCATTTGAGTCACTATAGTCCGAACCACTAAGTGAACGTTTCCGATTTCTAACTTTCCGCCGTTTACTATGAGGGGGCGGAGTGTCCGTATGACTTTGTCTAGAATCCTCTTGTGATGTTTGGCCTTTTTCATTTGTAACTTCCGCTAAACCTTTGACTCTTAAAGTCTCTGCAGTTTTCATAAGAGCAGATAATTGGTCTTGAGCCACATTCACTTCACCATGATACATGAACTCAATAATAGCTTTGAGTTCAGTGTATTTCATGTCTTTTAAAATTACAATAGGGTGCTGACAAGGATTTTCCAAGAACAAAGCCTGGAAAAATGGGCTGCATGCCGACAGCACCATTTTATGTGCTTTTAAGCTCAATCCATCACAAGCAAGTGTGACATCTACCATAGATTCTGTTGAGAGGAGGTTTTTGAACACATCCATCATGTTGTTCATGTGGTTGTTCCATTTTAAACAGAATTGCTGCGACATTGTAGCACAGATGAATGACTAGCGTCCTGCAAAGACATAAGTTGTTAGATATTAATTAAAATGTAGAAAATCAGGGTGACTGCTTTATGACTCATAACTTCTAGATTAATTGTGTAAAATAATTTTAAATTCTGAAGAAAATTGCAACCATGTGTAAAATTAGCTCTTCTCAGTCAACCAGGCAATTGAAATTTCATTAAAATTATTTTACTTTTATTCTATTTAATTTTCATGTGTTAAAAAATAAAAATTGAAAAACTTCATGGATAGAAAAATTATTTGACTTGGCATGGCTTATCATATAATTGAAGACTTCCAAATTAAAACATGCAATATAGGGATGATTGTGAGCCCAAGCCAAAATTCCGGAAAATTTCTTGAGTTAGAAGAAAGTTTAAATTGAAAAAAATTTAAACAAGTTTATTTTTCCTTTTTCTACAAATATGTATTTTTTTTCCAGAGTTCATGATTAAAACAACTATTTACTGATAAAAAATGAATATTAATCATGATTATAAGCTTATAAAGTATCTCTCTGGCTCTCCCTTACAAACAAATAAAATAAACTGTGTTTTTANCTTTAAAATTCCCTGATTTTCCAGGTTTTTATCCAAATTTCCCTGATATTTCCAGGTTTTTTCCAGTATAAAAAAATTCCCTGATAATTCCAGGTTTTCAAGGTTTTCCAGGTGGGTGGCCACCCTGTAAAACATGCAATATAATTATCTCTAATCTTAGTCATTCAGACAATTGCCTCAACATATTAAAAAAAAAATCACAGAAAAAACAAACTAAAAAGTTATAAAATAATTATAAACTTTTAAATGTATTTAACACAGATGGGGTTCAAATTAACAGAAATATAATCTGAGAGGTTCATAAAAAACATTTGTTAAGATGCTTGATTAATGATTGATTGTCTATATATCAACTGCCTTACAGGGAAGCTTTGATTTTTCTGACACAGACAGAGGACTAAGAACTCATTTAATATCATGACTATCCAGGGGTCTGTCCAGGCCAAATTTACTACCGTTTAGCGGTACTTTCACAAATTCAACTTTAGGAAAAACGGTAGTTTCACAAAATACTCTTTCTTAAAATTTTATATTTGCATCCAGTAAGAAAGGATAAATCCATATTTTTGTGTTGATTTTTTTGATATAGTTTTTAATTTTCACAAATTAGGTTTAAATTTTCACAAAATAGGTACCTCTCAGAAAAATCTAGACAGACCCCTGCTATCTCATGCAGCTAGGGGATATTTCCATAGCCATCTGTCACACCGACTACAATTGAATAAGACGCCAAGCAGAATTATTTTTTTTTTTTAAAAAAAACAGCAAGTTTTCTGGGTGAGTGGCAGCTACACCTTTCGAGTTCGGTGATGTTATTTTGAAAATGCTTGGGGGCAACTGTCTGGAAATTGGCAATACATGACAATTATTCTGCTACAAATCACAATACATAAATCTGCCCTGTAACTTCATCCATAATTATGTATTTATTTCACTTATATGGTTGATATATAGTTAAAATATTAAAGTATAACCTTGAAAATAGTTATCGTAGAATATACTACATCATTGAAAATATTCTAAAATCTTTGCCATTAGGGTACCTTTCCCGTAAACGAATAACCCTTGCAAACAGACAATTTTTACAGTCCCACTTAACGGTTAAACTATATTTGTTTAATCATCCTAAATGAAATGGTGTTCAAAAATATTAAAATTAACTTGAAGGGTAAATTAAATACATAAAATAAACAATAGTATATTTCAGAAAAATTTAAATAAGGAATTTGCAGTAGGATCCAGTTACCCAGATGGGAGCACAAGCTAATTCTACAATCTAATATTTAAAATCAGCGTTCCCTGAGAAGTTAAACATAATTTAGTAGCAACTCTAAAACCCGAGTTAAATTATAGAATAATTTTAATTCGATTATTTCAGCAGATTATAAAATTTAACGACCAGATTTTTCAGTGCCTTAAGAGGGTATTGAGAAGCTCGGATAATATAGAAAACGTAAAAACGCGCATAATTAAAACCAAGCATAAAATATCAGTTACACTATATGAGAGCCATTATTCACCGAAATTTGTATACATTATCATATATTACTCTTAATCCGCTTTATTAGGTACTACGAACGTCTAGTACAATTTCGAGAAAAGCAAATTCCATCATGAAATTGCAACATTTAAATAAAAAATTAATAATCTATCCTTAATTAGAATAGTTAAATACTATTAAAAACTAAAATTCATACTAAAATATAACATTCACAAGTACATTAATTTCAAATGCCAGAAATTTTTCAATATGGCGGCCAGTGACGCGCTATCACACTCAAGAAATTTAAAGTGAATTACCGGTATAATTTTCCTTAAAATAAAGCTCACACAACAACAAAACTAAAATTTACATTTCAATAACCATTTCCCAACACATTAACTAAATCTAAAAGGGACAAGATATCGGCTTTCGAAGCAATTCCAATACTGCAGTATAATGCGCCATTTTCCTTTGAGGAACAATGTTTAAAATGTAGCCCTACTACTAAAATTAAACTAAAATTAAATGGTAAAAAACGATAAATTTAATCATTAGTCCTTAATTTAGGATGCTTCAAAATTATTTGAAGCTGCAATAATCAGTTGCACGATTTAAAATTATTTCTTTTACCTATCCACCCGCTAACAGGTAACGCCGACAGCCGCCATATTTCATCTACAAATTAAGTTTAACTTCTTAGTTATGTAGAGACAATTTAAGAATAAATTAGTGGCAGAAAATTTAATTATTACAGAAAAGTTACTTAAAAAATACATAATTAAAGCGTTAATTACCTGAATAACTATACAAAAAAAAATGAAGTTCAGAGAAAGAACTAGCTACGTCCTTCCCTGACGACGTCCATATGAAGAATGACGATCACTATATGGTTGCCACCTTTCCTCAAATCTACGAATGAAGTATTTTAGCGCCACCTAGCCCTATATTTTCATTAAAAGCTTAAAGATCATTCGCACTGCATGCATAACATTTGTAGAGAAACGAGCAAGAAACTGATAAATGACTTTTCCAAAAATCACCTAAATTTAAACGACCGATCCATCACTCCACCGATTCGTTTTACATATAGTTTCTATCGCGTCTAGTGTGTAATCGCATGTTGTGTGATAGCTGCTTAAAGTTCATTGGTTACGTAATTGCTTGATGAATAAGGAATCAATTATTCTGTTAATGCAATAAGACAAATGGCTTCTGCGTTCGAAGCCAAAAGTTTCCTATGGTGTGATCTATAACTTTAGAGCACGAATACGCCACTTAGTGCTGGGTACAAAAAACTTCCTAAAGGCGGTACATCCATCAATCATCCTCCAACTCAATCCCAAAACTCCCCTTCTAAAAACAGCTGAGTTGTTGCTGTAGTTTATTTACGTCGCACTAGAGCTGCACAATGGGATATTGGAGACATCCCTGAGGATGATCCGAAGACATGCCATCACAATTTTGATCCTCTGCAGAGGGGATGACACCCCTGCTTCGGTAGCTAGACGACCTGCGCGTGATGTCGAGCACTTCACGGTAGCACAGTTTAACGAGGACCAATACCGCACACCCTCGGTCCCATCACAGGCTGATCCAAGTGGTCAAACACCCGCACACTGACCGCAGCCAGTGATGCTTGACTTCGGTGATCTGCTGGAAACAGTGTCTTAACGATCAGTCCACTGCGGGACTAAAAAAAATAAACAGCTGAGTAAACTAGACAGCTTATGAAAGAGCGAACAGACAAATAATGTGCTTTGTTTACCAGTTCGCAGTGCCTCCTATAGATCTTTCTAGTCGAAAATTATCCTAGGCACGCAAACAAATGTTTAAAAACTATATGTAAGATGCACTGAACACGCATGTACAGTGATATGCGACGTATGTAAGTCACGGTTTCCAATAGATCACCGAAATCACCTGTGAAGGGGTCGAGGGTGCTCGCTGTCGGTCCTCTTTAAAATGTTCTACTGTAAAGTGCGCAACTTCGAGTTCAGGTCGTCGGGCTACCAAAGTGGGAATCATTCAATCAGCCAAGGATCAAAATTATGATGGTATGTCTTCGGATAATCCTCAAGGATGTTTTAAAGACCCTAGCCAATAGCCCATTGTGGAGCTCTAGCCAGGTCTGCTCATAGCGGTGAGCGAACTGAGTGACCATCTAGGGCCGCTAAAAATTAGGGCCACCAAAATTTCAAAACTTGTAAATATAGTTATGTTACAAATTTTTTTTCTTTCTTCTTTCACTGTCATGCCACGTTTAGAAAGTTTTTTACTACTTTAGAAATTACATTCCTAGTTTCATCTCTTTCCCAATTAAAAAGGTCATTTATCTTGTAGCCAGTTAATGTGTTAGAAAGTTAATATATCTTTCCCTTTCTTCCACTAGTTGTTGTGAAGAAGACATTGTCATCTTCACTCATCTAGCTATTCAATCCCTGTCAATGAATCAAAGTTTCTAGTTTCAAGGAGGACAGTGAATAGTGCAGTAAAACTACAGAACAATACGAAAACAATTTTATTGGTCCTATGCTAAATTTTGTGATTGCCTAAAGAATTTTTTCATACTGTTCCTATAGCCATTACTATCACAGAACGTTAATTTTCAGAAACTGAAAGTTACAAAAACTGAAAGTTACAAAAACATATATGAGATCAATGAGAACTAATGGCCGTCTTTCATCTTTCTCACTCATTTCTATCGAGAATGATCTATCAATTTCTGTCAGATGCAACAATTTCTGTCAGACGCAATAATTTCTTTTGGTTTTTCAGTTTTAATAGAGAATTTTTCTGCTCAATGAGCTAGAAAAATTGCATTATTATTAACCTATTCATATTTGTAAGCAATACAATAATTTTTCCATTACGTTTGTTAAATTTTGGATATAATTTTTCCTATTCCTAAGATATATTATTCATATGAATTATTTTCATTTATTTTTCCAAATCTATCTAATTTCATTTCAGTTAATAATCCATTATATCAGGAATGTAATTTTTAAAATAATAACATCAATTCAACTTTGATGTCATAAAAATTAATTATTTAAAAAATTCCAATTATTGTTCATTTGCGAGTGTGTAGAGTGCTGTCCCCAAGAGCTGCTGTGCACAACTCAAAAAGTGGGTTCAAAATTACAACTCGTAAACTCAAAAATTGGGTCAACTATTCAACGATGTTTATAAAATAAAATATATGCAATAATGGAACAGACAAGGGAGATTTATTTAAAATTTGTTAAATTTTAACTCTCTCTACTCTAGACTCCATGATCAACGGTTAAGGGCACGGAGCTGTCAGTGAAAGATTGGGTACGATCCTCAGTGGCTTGAAGTCTATCCAGCTTCAGATCAATGGTACCAGTTTGTCTGAGAAGTAAAGATTGGATTATGCGAATTACTGACCACACTTTCACAATCATATCGTCATTTTTGAAATAGTTGAGCCATTAACAACCTCTGTGATCCGGCTGGCCCACAATAGACTGTTGCAGTAATGCTTTTTCTTAATGGCCGTTAAATTAATTTAGGCGCTAGTAAGCTATGAAATTAGTTCTACCAAAAACCTTTTATGTTTAATAAAAAAAAAACTTATTTTCAAATGAGTTTTATGCATTGGTGGAATTCAAGTAATTCAAGATTCGGTTAACTTTCAGGGCTTCATCCAGGTCGATTTTGGTACCATTTTTCGGTACCTTCACAAAATTTAAAAAAAAAAAAAAAATCGGTACCTTCACAAAATTAAACAAAAAAATCGGTATTTCAACAAACTTTGAAAAAAAGAAGGAAAAAAAAAAAAACGCATCTTCACGAAAATAAAAATAAAAAGTTCGAAAGAATTAAAGTGCTGAACAGTTTTCCGAGCGGATATTATTAGCGGTTATTATAATTTTATCTATGTATTCTGCATTTCTATTATTTTTTCAACCATTTATTCAAAAGTAAAAGTTAGCACAATATCAAAATAAGAATTTCTTAATCATAATAAGTTCAATAAATTTTATTAGTAAGTAAGTTAAAAAATTTTTTTAAACTTTATATAAATCTAATTTTTAACCTTAATATTAATCTGTATAGTATATTCCNTTCTATTATTTTTTCAACCATTAATTCAAAAGTAAAAGTTAGCACAATATCAAAATAATAATTTCTTAATCATAATAAGTTCAATAAATTTTATTAGTAAGTAAGTTAAAAAATTTTTTTTTAACTTTATATAAATCTAATTTTCAACCTTAATATTAATCTGTATAGTATATTCCATGATTTCTATGCTGGCTGGCTGTATAATTTACATTGAATTAATAAATGGAATTAATCTGCAAGCTGTCTCATAAGCAATTCCTTGCGCAATATGAGTATGTTTTTTATAGTATTGCACTTTTTGTATACATATGTAGTTTTTTTTTCTTTTCTTTTTTTTTTTAGTAATACTAATTTTTCACAAAAAAATTTTTTTTTCACAAAAATAATTTTTTTCTCACAAAAATAGGTACTAGGATTGAGAACCTGGATTAAGTCCTGACTTTATATGTGTGTGTGTGTACGTGTATGTAGCAGGAATCTGATCTATAACATGAAAAAGAAAATGTAATAAACCTAAAGAAAAAAAATGGGAAAAGGTTTATAAGTTTTCGCAATTCCTTCCCCTTCATGCTTCAAAAGTAGACTGATGTACCATAACTACCACAAGCATATGTACATATATATTTGAAGATGGAATTCTAAATTAATCGAATTAATATTCAACTTTACCTATTGCAATATATTTTTTTTGTTTGGAAAAAGCATTCAACAGTCAGCTTTTTATTTCCCTTACTTTATGGTTTTTGACAATTTTCAATTTAAATAAGGCTCGCACGTCTTAAGCACAGTTTTGAAGAACATTTTCATTAAAGGTTTTCATAACTTACTGAAGCGATTTGTTTTTTTTTTTNGCTTTGGGTTTTTTTTTTTTTTTTTTTTTTTTTTGGAAAAATTTATGTATTTTTTCCTTTTGATTACATTACAAAAGGATTTCTAATTCAATTTGCAGTGCTTTCGGAAAAATTGGACGATAATTTGCTGAATGTGGTGAAAATGTTTGGGTGGTCACAGTGAGCTCCCATCCTGGTGCCCTGAAAGTAAATAAAAGCATATTTAGTTAGAGACAAATAACTTTTTTCAAAATGTAATGTTAAACAAATATGCTAAAATGAATTTTGTTACGTTTAATTATTTGTTGAGCTGAGTCACTTATTCAAAGATTAAGAAATTTGATGCCACTAACTTTACCAGCATGCAGTGAAATTATAAATTTATAGCTACAATCGATAGGGGAAATTTTAACGACTGATATACATAATTTCTTAAATTTTATTTCCCATTGCTTCATGGTACTTTTTGCGACTGCATAACAAGATGTAAAAATTATTCAACACAATATCAATCTTTTTTTTTTTTAATTTTTTTATCTTAAATGAGAGAAAAATTGCACTTATTTTCCAGAAAATGAAAAAAAAAATCTTTCATACCTGAAATCTAGGAGTATGTAAAAAAAAATAGTTATATTCATAACTTTCACAAAAGGTTCAGTATCCGACTAGTTTCGACAACTTTTTATAAAAAATATTTATGTAAAATATGAAAAAAATAGTTTATTTATTTTATTATGTGTAAAAACTTATAAAACTAGCAAAAAAATTTATTACTATTATTATTATCATTTTAAATGGCCGTTTTTTGGTAATAATACCCAATTTTTTTTTGTATGCACGATAATCTATCTATCGCCTAAAATAAAAAACAAAAAAACCTCTGAGGGTTTTATTTAGAACGCTACCAACTATGTTTTGAACTATTTTTTAAAAGCAAATGCATATACTACTGAGTTAGAGATCAATGTAGTTAAAAAAGCAAATTTTTAAAAATTTCCATACTTTTCTTTGTCAAAAAACATGCATAAAAAATGAAATTCTACTTTTTTCTCTCTTTAGTCTGTACTTCAAAAGATGTGTGTTATAATCATAAACACTCGTGAAAAATTGCTGATAATTATTTTCTATTGATATATTTATGTTGATAATTATATTCTTGTTTAAGGTGGTGTAAAATGTAAAAAATCTGATTTTGAGATAAACTGATTTAAAGACTTTAAATCATTAATCTATCCACTGATCACATTGCACAAAAACTTTGTAAATAATTGGATTACAAACAAAAGTAAAGTATTTTTAGAAAGCTAAGAGTACAAGAATTCTAAATTAATAATAAAGTATATTTCGTTCGAGAAAAACTATTAATTTTAAAACTGAATTTTCATATTTCTTTTAAGAAAATCAAAGTATAGAGTTTCCCGAAAAATATTGCTACATTTAAAAGGAAAAAAAATTATGAGAAAAATAAAGGAAAAAAAGGAGGGAACCCCCGAAGCAATCCCCCGAAATTCTACAAAAATTAATAAATACATTAATTTATAAAAATTAGTAAATAATTTTTTTTTTCTTTTTTCTTTTCCTTTCTTTGAAAGATTTCGAGTCAGCAGCTGCATCTGCGTACTTTTTGACCTCGGACCGTTGCACTTCTCCAAACGAAGGTAGGGTTCGGAGGGGGGTTGCTTACCGGTTTCGCATGCTGATTCTACTACACTCTTCATCAGTAACAAGAAAAAAAAAGAAAAAATGAATTGGAGAAGGAATATTTATGTTTTTTTTCTTTTGAAGTTCGGCCGTATAAAGCTTAGAATAACTTTTCCAAGCTAAGAATAAATAAAAAATTAGATATATTTATTATTACTATTTATTTTTTAAAGTTCAGACACATAAACTGTTTGGAATTCGAAACTTTAAATTTTTGTATCAGAATTAAAATACATTTAATCTTAATAAAGAGATTAGAATAAAACTTAATATTATATCCTTTTGTTATATTACTTTGAGAACTGCATTTCACGTTTGAACTTACCAATTTTTCTCTTGAGCCAACAGCATTAATTTTAAATATTATTTACAAAAAGGTGATACTCGAGAAGATTGATTAGGGTTCAACAATATAACTTGACAGGATATAAAACCAAAACAAATATTTAAGATCGGGAAGTTGGTGGCAATTTAACAAAATATTTTAAGGGAAGAAAATAATCTCTTTTCTAGAAACTAAAATAGTATAACAAAATTGTAGTGGCTTTTGTAGGAGCTAAAATAATTGTAATGCAATCATGCAGCTGCATGAGCAGCTGTGAAGAGAACACTAGGTTTTGCAAAATAAAATGCACATAAAATTGTTTTTCGTTTTTTTTCTTCCCCCGCCTGTGTAACAGTATTATTATTTTTTTTTATGAGCAATAAAAGCCATAATGGCGCATTTATGTAAAATTATGTCTAGAAACATGTTTAGTTATACTTTTTTAATAAAACAGTATTACGAAGTAGATTTTTATTTTTATTTTTAACCTCACTGAAAAATGTTTATAATTGCGATTCAGGTTCTTTGACCTAAATTTAGACTGAATTCAATTCAAAGATTGTTTTTCAAAAAAAAAAAAAAAAAAAAAAAAAAAAAAAAAANAAAAAAAAAAGGACAATTGCATTGCTACGTGAGAGTTAATATTTTCAAGTTTCTCTTTTGGTTAAAAAATAAAATAAATTTGCATGGTAGAGATAATAGAAACTGATAGCGATATCAAATCCCCGTCTCTTTAGGATATATCAGAATTAGAATTTCTTTTCTCAAAGGTGCATGGATGCTGGAGGCAAACTTCCCGATTACGCTTTCGAAAAAAGAAGTGTAAAAATGTTAAAAAGTGAAGAAAAATATAATTAAATGTAATAAAATAAATAAATATTCAACTTAATGAGAAAGGAATAAGCGATGGAACGATTCATATTCATGAAAATTTAAATTCATTTTTATGTAAATATATTTTATCTCATTTTATAACCGTCATTGAGCAGACGACCCAATTTTGGATTTACTACTACTAATTTTAATTCCGTAGCCTTGCAATTTTGCACCCAATCCAGAAGACAAGGAAACTTCTGGATCGTGTATTGGGAGAAATTTGCCTTAGTGGAGGACTTCTAGATGGAACTAACCAGCATTTGCGTTACATGGAAAGGAAAACCACGAAAACTGTTACGGAAAAGAATATCACAATTAGCCTGAGGGCAAGGGAACTTTATCCCATGATCCGTCTACCACTGAGAATATATTTTTACCACAGTACTGTAATCGGTACGAGCTGAATGAGGAATTCGTATCAACCGACCAGTCATCTCTGGATTTCGAACCTGGTTCACCTCATGGGAAGGAGAAGGCTCTATCCCTTGAGCTTCCACGGCTCATGAAAATGTATGCGGAATTACTCTGTGGTTAAAAATTAACCATTTCCAACAAAATATTTTTAACTAGGAGGTTCCGCTCCGTGCTTGCTAACGCTCGCCAAACCCCGGAACAGCTTTAACAGAGTTTCCATCGAATTGCTTCACAATTCGAACTCGCCCCACTCGCTCATTGGATAAATCACTTCTGCTTAACTTTGTATACTTTTTTGAAGACTAACATTTAGAATAAATAGTTCATGAAATTTTTCTGAGAAAAAAATTATAAATGCTTATTAAAAACAATAAATAGTTTTAGCAAATTAATATTTGATTGAAATTATCTTTAGACAAACGAATTTCGTAAAATTTTTTCGAATCTCTTAAAAAATTCACGAAATATGGCGAAATTCACTAAAGATAAAATTATCATTAAGGGATCAATATATTTTTCCGATTCCTAGGAAATTATATGGAATTAGATTATATCAATTTTCAATACCTTAAAAATAAAATAAAAGTTCAAAACATCAAAATGCAAACAAACTATTGGAAGAGAACTCTCTCATCGCGTAAACCTTAGTTTTCCTTTCATAATTTATTTTTATTTAGATTTTTTGAAAAATTACTTTCAATAATTATAACTACATGGCTTACTCTAGATTTGTCTGAACTTACCTTTTCTAAACTTTAAATTGCTTATCCAAATGAAATGCTCTTCCCGTGTAGCTCCCTTGGTATAGCGTCTTAAATAAACAATTAGTTTATTTAAGATGCTATACCAAAGGAGGTAACGAGAGCAAACGATATCTTAAAATATGAAAGCTGACATAAAAACGCATTTTCTCTGAATAAACATATCTGTTCTTACGGATTATGATTTCTGACACCCAAAATATAGAAGAAAAAATATTTCGGGGTCGCAAAATACTCCCTATTTGGAAAATATGGTTCTAATGGCCAGGTTCAAAGTTTGGACTCCTTAATTTCAATTTTCCTTTTTGCGTATTTAGCCACATCATATCTTGCGAACTTTTTAAGCGAACTGAAAAAATTTAGCTCACAATAAAAAAAACTCGTTTATCCTAAGATAAATTCACGCAAAAAATAATATTTAATAATTTTTTTTTTAAATATGAATTTAGACTTTTGTACAGAGAAAAAATTTATGAACTATTTATTGTAAACTTTAATCTCCAGAAAAGTAACGCATTCAATGAGCTGGCAAAGAAAAATCCGACGGGAACTGCGGCGGGGTTGGCGAGCAGTGAGCCGAACCCGCTTAGTTATTATTTTCTTTACTTTTATATTTATAATTTAAGAAAAACTCCACTAAAACATAATTTTTTAATTCTTAAAAAAAATGGATTTTTGTTTTTTTTTTTTTAAATTTTTTAACACGCTTCAATTATGAGTTTTAACTTAAGTGGTTTATAGTTTTATTTCTTTAATAAATTTATTTATTTTTCTTATGAGCTAAAGAAGAAATTCATAAAAAAATATGAATCAGCTTTTTTACTGTTATTTTTAAATTAATTATACTTTTAAAAGAAGAATATTGCTATTTTTACCTTTATAAACTTTTATCAAGGCCTAATGAAGGATTTATTTTATTGCTATTTTTAAATTAATTTTGCTTTTAAAAGAAGAATATTACCATTTTTACTTTTTTATAACAGAGCTTATTCGATGATCATCGAATAAGTAATATAATTTGAATCAACAACTATGCTTTTTTTCCTAATGAAGAAGTTTAAAATATAGTAAATGCGTATTCAAAATGATATTATAAATGGTGATCCCAATTTCCACCGTATTTTTATTTTATACACATCGGTTTCATGTTCCTCCCCAAAGATAATGGTCGGTGTAGATATTTCTGGGATGGAGACAGGAAAAAGGCTTTATCAGTTTAAATCCGCTCGTACATAAATTCTTTTAATTTCTAAAAAAAGTAAACTGAACACGATGCAGTCGAAGGAGAAATTTCCATACCTCCAATTTAAAAATAAACCTATTTTCAAACTAGATTTACGTTCCTAAAACTTCAAGTTTTTTCAGTTTTTTCTTTTGTTAAACGTAAATGAAGTCTATAACGGTTTTGTTATACTTAGTGAGTTGAAACAGTGCATTACACGCAACTAAGCGGTGTTTTACCCTATGATAAAAACGTAAATAACATTTCAGAGAATAAGTGAAATATACTCGATGTAAAAGAAAATAAAACTTTCATCTCAAAACGATGCTATGATTGCCTTAATTTGATCAAAAACTTAGTTATTTTTATTCAGTAAGATCTAATTTTCAATCGACTTATTGTATTTTGTTTAATATTTGTTAATCTCATGTAAAAAAAGATTTAATGTTTATGTTATCTCAGCATCTGTTGGCGTTAACTATTGCGTAAAATTTGATTAAATAATTGTATGCTTTAGTTTTACCTTATAATTTATATTTATGAATATAAGTGGCTGATGTTTTAACCATAAACCTTATGAAATCTTACCAGCGTATTGCAATAAATAATTAATTCGAATTATAATTCGTTAATCCGAATTATAATGAAATGATAAATAAAAGTGTATTGACAAAAAAATTTTTAAACTGTTAATTTTTTTTTACATTGCAGACGCTGCCTAAAATTAAACAAAAATAATTTTGTTTATAGTCATAATAGACCTTATAGTCATAATTGATTGTAATAGATCTTCAAATGATATGTTAAGTTTTTACACCTGTGAAAGCACATTTTTAGTTCACTCTGTTTGAATGAAGAGCTTATTTCTATTATTTTATGCTTACAGAAAAAAATTAATGAATGTGTAAATTTTTATTCGTGACTTTAATGTAATTATAATGTTATTATCCATTCAATATAGGTATCAAATATGCTAGCCTCAGAGAAAATTTTTGAATAATTCTCCACAGCCATTAGCTTGCATTTGGGTCTACATATGATTATTTTAATGCACCATGGCTTGCATGCTGTTGTTTAAACTGCCTATATTACTTTAATACCTGTTAAAATTTACATAACTTTATTAATTTAAGACAGTTTGATTGCATTTTATATTGACTTTAATTTGTTTTGTAGAGGCTATTTATTTTGGAACTAAAAATAGTCAATAAACAAATAACTTCAAAATCTAAGATTTTTGCTTTATAAACTTGTTTTATTCACTATTTTATAACATCTTGAGAGATATTATTTAGCTTTTGTTATTTGCTGCGTATCGGAATAAGCTTTACATGAATCTTCAAGCGTTGTCATCAATGCATCAGCCAGTTAACTATTTATTTGATCTTTCAAATGTACTATCTATTTTAGCATTTTAAAAAAATGAAACAAAACTACTGAAGTATGAATACAACATAGGACTTCTTCTGGGCAGAGAATACAACACTGGAACTTTAAACAGATTTTCATTTAAGAATATAGTTGTATGTCTTCTGAAGAGGTCCTGCATTACATTCTTGTTACTTTTGTTCTGTTTCAATTTGCTATCTATTTTCAATGGTTATCTGATTTTTGATAAATATATTTGAAGACAATATTTGTGTTCATGCTGTTTCAGCTCTTTCTCATGTTTGAATTAGATTTTGTCCTAATGTTTTTATGTTAAATATTCAAAGTGACTTTTAACATATTTTTATTTAAGTATATAGTTTGATTTTTGTCTTACAATTTTAGTAGATCAGGACTACCCAAAATAATAATAATAAAACCGTTAGTACGTAATAGGACTAGTGCTGTCTGAAAAGTCTTGAAATAATAATTAGCCCTATTATTTTCTTGTAAATAGAGTTTTGAAAACATCAGCCAGAAAAAAGGCTGAATTCATCCACTTTTTCAAGAAAAGTAAAGGATTTTATGTTTCTCAAATGGAAAATAATTGTTTTAAATATCTACCTCATAATACAAGCTATAATGTTTCTTACAATACAAGCAATAATGTCTTCATTGCAGCAATAATGTTTCTTGCTTGAAGTTCAGGAATATTTTCCATTGCTCTTTTTTATCAGAAAATGTTAAGCTGTGAGCGAAAATAACAGCATCTTCATCAATCTCGATTCTGTATCTCATACTGTTTATTTTGACATTCCCTAGCTGTTAAGGAGGCATGGGCAAAGTAACTTTAATTTTCTTATGATTGTTAAGATAGCATTTCACAACTGAAAAATTACATGAAAATTAAGTTATTAATTCCACAATCATGTCCCTCTGTGCCCAAATTTATTGTATGTAGCACAAATTGAAATATTATAAAAATTAATATGAAAAACTACGTCAATCACTTTATAAATAATTTTCCCATCAATAAGCTATCTTTAAATGAAAAGAATTCTGCCTCAATCTTGCCAACTTTAAAACCAACGGCTCTGATTTTTTACAGACCTCTCAAAGGCCAATGAGTTACTATTTTTTACTATCTGAACTTTATTTTTTAGAAAATGGCCAAAGTAACCCTTGTTGAAAGTATAATGAGTATAATGGAATTATACCCTTCTAAAATTGTATATATATATTTTAAATTGATCAATAATATCACTATGTTTTGAAGATCTTATTGTATGTTTTTTCTTTATAGATAATTCAACATGTTTTCAGTATTTAAGCAGTTCGGAACTAAATGTTTTACTTTGTCTAAAAGTTTAAAANAATTTATTGTATGTAGCACAAATTGAAATATTTATCACTTTGTTTTGAAGGTCTTATTGTATGTTTTTTCTTTATAGATAATTCAACATGTTTTCAGTATTTAAGCAGTTCGGAACTAAATGTTTTACTTTGTCTAAAAGTTTAAAAATTTCAAGACAGTCACAAAGGTATGCAGAATTTTATTCATATTTCTACTTGCTTAATTGTATGTGTTGGAATCGATATTGTAATTTATGTATATAATTTGTTTATTAAAATAGAAACTTGTGAAAAATATTGTTTGTAATGTTTTGTAATATAGGTAGTATGTATTGTTTATTGAGTATTGATTGAGTATAGTTAAGTGCGGTGAGTTCTCTGCTTATCGCTTATAGCTCTGCGTTTAAGTATTGTTTATTTTTCATAATTTTAAAATTTATTGTAAGTATTTTGCAGGGTTAATAAGTTTTAATTAACAAAATTATATTAGTATTTGATTTGTAATAAATTATGGTGTTTTTGAAATGATGTTTTAAGATCTTACAATTCTTTTAAATTTTTCGGAATGCTAATAATGAGCAAAAGGGATAATTTAATGCAGTCTTTTTATGCTAATACATCTGTAAAAAGTAGAATATAAAATAATGATTTTTTTCTTACAGAAGTTTTGATAGTAAGGAAAATCTTGCTAATTTCTAAATTTAATACACAATCTACAGTAATATATTTTATTTTAATGCTGCAAATATTTTTCTGAATCTTAAAGTTTCTTCAATGATAAAAGGAAATTTTCTTAATTTGATACAAAGGCTGATAAATTCTAATTGCATGTATGTATTTTTGAAAATAAATAAATGAGTAAGTTAAGTTATTTTTTATTGAAATATTTGTCAACCTGCTGTTAACGCAATACAATTTTTTTATAATTTTAAAAGTTAAAAAAAAAAAAAAAAAAAAAAAAAAAAAAAAAAAAAAAAAAAAAAAAAAAAAAANACATTAATATTGTGTTGCCTTTATTTAGCCTGCTTTTTTGTAGTTAATAATGATACATTTATATTATATTTGCAATAATTTTGGAATCGTGCATTTGGATGTATTAAATATTCCCTTTAAGACAATTGTTAACATAATAATATAGCTTTAAATGTATTATTATTTAGTTTTAATTATATTTAAATGAAAACTATATTTATAAAACTTAACTATTTAATCTGTTTTAAATTAAAAAAAAATGATTTAATTAAAATAAGTTACATTTAATTGTTTTTAAAAATCAAATTACAAATCATGATTTAAAGGGAAAATTAGTGTAGGGCACATAGATGATATTTTCTGTGCTACATTTCTACGCATTACTCATTTCTTATTTTAATAGCCTATAAAATAAACTACCTGCAATCACAATCCAAAACGATCTGAAAAATTCTAATAAATCTTAATACAGAATGATTTTATTCCAAAAAATTTATTAAAAATTCTCTTATAGGTTGTTGTTTACTTCTGTTGTTGGATCAGTTATTGCCTATGAATATATAAAATGGAACAAAGTAAGAAACATAGATTAAAATTTTTAATATGTATCTAAATATCAGAAACTTTTAAGTTGTTTAAGTTCTTAAAATAATTTGTTAGTATTTTTGTTTTGTTTTTATTTTACATGTTTATTAAATATTAACATATAATTTGGTTTTAAGATGAATACACCATTATTTAGCTGACTTTATCAATACCTTTGTTTATTTATATTAGCATAATGGGTAAAAGCTTTTTAAAGCTTTGAATGTATAATCAAGTACAAGTAATGTATATTTATTCTGTAAAATTCTATGATTATTTTTCTAATTTAAATGTTGCTTGTCATTTAATTTTAGAAACTTAATCTAAGTTTAAGACTTTTTTTTATCAAAAAGTTTCAACTAAAAAAAAAGAAAATTAGGCATAATATATTGGAAATTTGTCAGAAAAGTTTATTAAGCATTATTTTGAACATATCTTCAGCATCTTTTAATATTTCCTTTTTTATTACTATCAAAATTTGACTTTTTATCCTCATTTTGAACAGTCCATTAATTTATTTCAATGTATACATTTTAAACAGTTAGTCTTTCCCTCCTCTTTAATTGGAATGTTATATTTGGTTTTAAAGAACTAAGTTTTTATTAATAGTTTAACATTACTTTTACCTTTTGATTCTTTCTTTTACCAATTTTGAAAAGTAATGTAGTGAAATATGGCTGTTGCTCTAGAAATAAAATTAACATACTCTTTATATTATTTATTAATGCATTTTTTATTAGCATAATTTATGTCATGAGAGCTTTTATTCTTAAAATTTTTCTTTACTCGTAATAATACTTAATTTTTTTTTTAAATAACAAATTCTTTAAAGAGTCTGAAAAAAAGTGGCTATCTTGTGCTTGAACGAAACTAATAAAAATAATATTGATAAATTTTCCTCCAATTGTCTGGGACGCAGTAATGGATTGATTCTATTATGTTTTGGTTTGTGCTGTTTGTTGGTATTGATATTGATTTGTTTCCATAAAAACAGAAAAATTGGAAAAATTTAACTATTTTTATTTGTGTTTACTCATTATTATTTTTCGAAATCATTTTATTTTTGGGTTAACTTCTATTTTTTCATGCAAATTTTCTTGTTTGTAATTTAACGCATTATTCACATTGGGTTTTTCATGTTTGGAATTTAGCCATGTTAATTACATTGGGGTCATTTGTTATTATTTTTTAAAGAGCATTTTATTTTTGGTATACCTTTTATTTTTGTGTACAAATTTTCATGTTTGTAATTTAACCATATTAGATTCACCATTTTAATTAATTTTTTCTAAGTGATTGTAGAGAGTAAAAATTTACATTTTTAATTTGAACTAACTATCTCTCTCTCTATTTATTTAATTTAAGTTTCTTGACTCAAGTATCCTTGTGTACCATTGACCATTCCTTGTTTATTTTTGATTCAATTTTTTTTCTTCCCTTTCTTGGTTTTGCTTCGAGCATAGCTTTTACTAATATTTCATTGTCAGTTTTATAAGAAGTTGTCAGAAGTTCTTATATTAAGTGTGTTTCAAGATATTCTAGTTTAGTTTTTGTGCCGTTCATCAGTGCTTTCGAACAATTTGTCAGACTTTAGCAGAATATATTTTAATTTTTTCAAACATATTACATAATTGTATATGTATGTATGTGGTATCTTTAACAGTACAATACATTGTATTATATTTAATAATTATAAATACATTATATTACACTTATTTTATTTCAGATAAATATAAATACATTATATTTATTTAAAATAAAAATTAAAACATAAAATTTATTAAAAAATCAGATTAGAAAGGGTATGAATTATGTTAATTTTCAAAACGTTTGGGATTCCTGGTCTAGTACAAGAAGCATTCTCAATGTTTCAGATTGATTATCAGAAGATAAATTGAAAAACTATGTAAGGTAATTTTTTATTTAATACATTTTATTAAATTCATCATGATAAATCTATAAATTGTTTAAACATTGAAAATTTTTTGGTAGTTATACTTAATCTTATACTTTGAATAATTTGATAATTTAAATTTATATAATCTTTATAGGTATATTTAGCTTCTTCAGTTATTGATGTGAAAGATTTTATGGCTGAACCGATAACTGATACAACAAATTTGCAAAAGGTATGTAGTATCAGATAAGTTTTTTGTTTCGAAAATTTTACTTATCTGAAAGCAAGTAGGTTACGGTTACGTATCGCACTGCGTAATGGTTTGTTCATTTTATTTAATAAATACATTTCTTAGAGGAAGATTCCAGCTGTTACAATACAAAGCTATATCCATTGAAAATATCTATTCTTAAGTAACAAATTTCCGCCATGTCATATTTTATCAGTTGCATTTTTTTTTATCCTGATTGATAGCTTCATAATGTTCCAATTGAATCCTATTAAATTAAATTTCAAATGTTTGGAAAAACTGCTATACAAGCTTAACAATAAGGAGGATTTATAAATTTTAATATTTGCTGAAATTTTTTTTTGCTACACTGAAATGTGATTATCAAGAAGTAAACACCTTTATTAATCTGCTTGTATTCTGCTCTAAAAATTGCAAGTTTAAAAAAAAGAAATACTGAAATTTAACAAAGAATTTATCGGCAAGTTTTAATGTGGAAAAAGTAAGATAAGTCCATGGATTGTTCATGTTTGTTTGTGCCATTCCACTGACATTACTCACCAAATTACACTTTGTTTATATTGATGTTCNGGTCAAATTTATTCTCATGAGTAAATCTTGATAATTGAGTTGATCATCATTAAAATTGCTTAAGTTAATTCTATCCCTTGTGATCATTATTTCTGGACAGATATTTTTTTTATACTTTATTTGTATGTGTTGGTGATGATTTGGGATAGGCCTTAGTTGTAAAAATGTATTAGTACTAAATTGTAACAATTGTCCCACTATACTTTACCCAAATTGTCACCACATATATCATACCATTAAACTATAAATTTAGAGATTCTAGCAATGGATTCTACATCATCTTTATCTGCTAAGTCCCACAAAAAATCGTCTTCACCAAAATTCAAAGAATTAAAAATTTTACACTTCTTAAAAGATTTTAAAATAACATTTGAATCCATATTTTGCCACTGATCAAATATTATTTGCAGAACAGAAATTTTCTATTTTTGTATGAGTTTTTGTTGTCAAAATAGTTTTTTTCATGTTTTTCAATTCTAGAAATTTTTATCTTTGGTGTTTTCAGCAGTCCACTTTCAACATACCAGAAATTTGATGTTTTGTAATCAAAAATAAGAGGGTCTACTATTATACTGGTACATATTTTCTTGCTAAATTGTGAGCGTTTTTTTATAAAAATGTCGGCTATGAGCAATATCAATTTAAATAGATTATTCTTTCGATATAAGTACTGGAAAGTCACTTATAATTCACTTATTTTTTATTTCTGATACATGTTTTGAGTTAGGTACTGTTGAGCATATTTGCAGAAGGTGACCACACAGTTGGTCTATCAAACTGCAGAAATTACAATGTGCAAAAAATGAACCTATTCTTGTTCTAGTTGTTGCAGTATATGTAACTGGGAGCAATAGTAAAATATTTACTCAGTGTCTTATTTCTGGAAATGCTTCTTCTTTCCTAAACTAATTAACAATTCTTTATCCATATTCAGCCAGTAATCCATTTATTTAAATTAAAATTCTAGACAATTTGAATTTTTTGTTTATTGACTGATGCTACTCTTTCTGCAAGAAATTAATTGAAGGTTTACATTGTTGTCTGAGTGGTCACCTCTAAATGACCTGTTATTTTTCAAAAGGGTTTTCAAAACTATTTTTTTAAAAGATTTGCAAGCAAATCAAATTCTTAAAACATAAGCCATCTTTGAACCAGTGTTCTTATGTGCATGATTTTTCTCTGTTGATGCTTTATTGTTCATCTTCAACTTTGTTAAAATTGATTTTGTAATACATTATTTCATTATAATAAGTCTAGGCACATTTTTAAAACCAATTTTAAGTTTAGTTAATACAAAAAGTGTTTTTAAGTAGATCCAGATAGATAATACAAAAGATTTTACGGCTCATAAATAGTTCAGAGTATAATTAAGTCACATAAATTCTTCATCCTAAAAATAATAAATTAGTTTATTTTGCTTAAGAAAGTCTCTTTTGATTTAAAATTTATTGGTTAGAGCAGCATAATAAATAAAATTGGATAATTATGGAATATGATTGTTATGTGTGTGCTACATTGATATGCATTCATTATGATTATTACATTTTACTTTCAAAAACGTACTATGGTCTGTATTTTTTAGAAAATATAGCAGTTTATAAAGGTAATAAAAATGTATCATGCATACTTTAATTTTAGAAAAAAGTCTATTTTAAATTTATTAAAGTATTTCAAAATCAACATACAGCTAACTTCTAAATACAAAAAGTTACAGTTGGAATTAGAAACTAAACACTTATATATATTTAAAAAAAAAGTCTTTTACCACTTTTCTTTATTTTTCTTTTCTAATCTATTGGTTATCAATGTCTAAATGTAAACAAATGAAACAAAACTATAAGATCTTAGCTTTTTAACAGTATTTTGTACATGTTAAAATGCTATTGACTGTTTGCTATATTTGAGTCATTTCATAAAAATGCTGATGTGGAATATGTTCTTTGGTTATTTTTTCTCCAATAAAAAGCTTGAGTTCTTTGTAATAGCTGTTAATTTTTTATATTTCAGATAAAAAAATGTTCATTAAAACTGTTTGAATACAGTCAAAGACCATTTTAACAAAAATTTCTATTGCAATAATTCCAATGTAATGAAGAATTTTTTTAAAAAAAACCTTATTTGAAAATTGTTGTAATGAATTTACAATTTGTTTTAATTAAAATGTGTTCAATTTTGAAAATTTAAAAAAATATTTTCTGCACAAAAAGGTAGGAGTATTTTGTTTGTAGAGTTTATTGATGTAGGTGAGTGAATTGAGATACAGTCTACTCCTTATTATTGGCTATCATTAAAGCAACCCTTATATTGATATAGTAAGCTTCATTTGCTATTCTATGGAAGCACCAATTTTATAAGGTTTATTAGAATGTCAAAACTAAATTGTTCGTTTCAATATAGACATTAAACTGTAAGACATGTAATTATATTTTAAATTAATTTGGGAAGTTTCTCATTTTTTTTAAGTATTACATGGCTTTATAAAAATTTGTCCAGTATTTATTATGATTAAATATTTACAACAGCTTTGTTTGCGTAGTGACCTCAATTTATTATTAAGTATTACCTCTATTTTGATATTAAGCATTGATTTGTTTTCATTTATGTTTATATTTATAAGTAATAGATTTAATTTATAAGTTTTTACTTTATATGTGCTTATTTTCTTATTCATTTCTTCTATCAATAATTAATTATTAAAAAAAATTTGCAGAATAATGATGATATGAAAAGTCGAATGGAAGTTATGATTTTAAATGTCCAGGTAAGAAGTTTTTATTAATTGGAGAGTAAAAAACAATTATTAAAAATAACTTATTAACTATAAACTATTAAATATAAATTATTAAATATTATTTTTAAAATATTTTAATCAACCATTAAAGTTATTCAAGTCCTTTTGCTTCCTTTCTTCCAATATGTTGTTTCTTTTGTTAAATCTACGTTTATTCAAACTATTTTGCTTCCTCTGTAGGCTGAATTTTGCAAAGCTCTTGAAAAGTTTGAAGATACACAAAAATTCAGAGTTGACAAATGGAGCAGACCAGAAGTAACTTTTTGTTTTATGCTTTAGAAAAAAAAACTAAAATAATGAAATGCTTTCTGAGTTTTATATTATTTTATGCTAACCAAATTTAATTTCCAATTTTTAGTCACAACTTTTTATTATATTCATTTTTAAACTTGTGTTACTTTTTATTAATAAATTTTTTTAGCAGCAAAGGTTTTCACTGACTTTTTTAGTATTTTCATTCAAATTTTTGATTTATTTAAATTGATTACTTTCTTGATTATGCCTTAGTTGATATATTGATTATCATCTTATAAAAAATTTCATCATTTTTATTTATGTAATGTTTTGCATATTTAAATTTATTCTCTTCAGTTTTCATTTTATAAAATTTATAGTAGATATGTCAAAACTTCAAGGTTTAATATATAAGATATATAAACAAAAATATACTTTTTGAATTAGTTAGATAGTACTGCATTAAACAATTTTGTATTATTTTATTTACACACAATGCTGTGTCTGTAATAAACTGCTATTTTTTAATGATATTTTTTTCTACTGATCTAAATACTTTATTAACCTTAAGGCTAATTTAGATTCTCTAATAATTATTAAATGCTAATTAATCACTTTCCAGGACAACAGTTTGGGTACCTTTAATGTATATTTAAAATTTATGTAAGATAAAGAAAAGACTGGTTTATTTTTTCTAAAATGAGGCGATGCATAATGTACTATAATTTGAAATATAATGAGAAAAGAAGTGTGTTAAAGAGTTCCAATTGTCTCTATGTTATTACAGTCAAACCCCGCTATAGTGAACCTTCAAGGGTTCATATAACCAGGAGTTCACTATATCCGTTACGCATGCAATTTAACTAATGGTTCCCAAACTCCTCCCTTTTATTACACATTATTCAAATAAATGACTGAAAAATATTATGTAGTATTAGTAAAAATGTGTTATTTTCATTACTCTTCGTCTTTCATGCAAAAAAAAAATTAGTATTTTTTAGCTGATGAGCAATAATCAGTATCAGATATGGAAACACTTCAAATAACAAATAAATGACTGAAAAATGTTATGTAGTATTAGTAAAAATGTGTTATTTTCATTACTCTTCGTCTTGCGTGCAAAAAAAAAATTAGTATTTTTTAGCTGATGAGCAATAATCAATATCAGATATGGAAACACTTCCTGACTCTCAGATAATTTTTCCTGAATTTCGGTTATTCTGCTTTTTAAATCTGTCTAATCTGCCATTCGAGCACATAAAAGTTGCCTCCTAAAATCGCTTAGCAAATTCATCGACATTTGTCCAGATATTGGAAAATTGCGGCTTCTTCGAATGGTGAACCACTTCAGTAATGCTTCTTCAACATCCTTGTGTTCTGCTTTTCTCTACTCTTTTTTGTGCCATCGAAATTTTTTTCATGAGCAGAAATAATGAATTGCCTATTTTTCCATTTGTTACAAATTGCAGATTTGGATAGTTTATATTCCCTGCAAATATCAACTTGATTGCATCCATTTTCAATTTTTCTGATTATGCCCATTTTATTATCAATGGAGAGCGTTTTACGTTTACTGGTCACCATAGTTAAATTCGAGACACTTGTTTGCAGACTTTTTAACAGAACTGAGAGCAAAAAGGAGTTGAAATGAGGGCATTATCAACACATATTAGTGTCCAACCCTTCGACCAATAATAAATAATTACTCATTCCCTCTGACAAAAAAATGCATATTGATCCCACTGACACCTTACAGGTGCATCATCATGCCTGGGTTGGAAACATTTGCTTGATTTGTTTGGGGATTGGAAAGTGAAATAAAAGAAGCAAACAGGAAAAAATGCTTATCGCTACATTCCCCTCTATAGAGGGTTTTAAACATTGGTATATGTATTTATTTTGAAGCAGAAATTACAAAATTATTACAAAAAAAAAATCAGTTGAAGACAGAAAAAAGTTCATTATATCCAATTTCTTCACTTGTTTGGTTTACTATATCCACGAAAAATAACATTATACGTTTATAGCAAGGCACGGAACCGAACATTTCGTTCACTATATCCGGGAGTTCACTATAAACCGTGTTCACTATAGCGGGGTTTGACTGTATTATTATTTTATTTTTTCTATTCATATGGGCTTTACGATGTTTGGGCTTACGATTAGATTCTCTAATAATTATTAAATGCTAAGTAATCACTTTCCAGAACAACACTTCGGGTACCTTTAATCAGAGATGATTGTGCTCCAGAAAATATCCGGATTTCCGTATTTTTCGCTAACCGTGATCCGGAAATCCAAGGTCCAGAAGTTTCAAGAAATCACCGATCACATTTATGTATAAAATTGTTTGCATATTTTATTTAAAAATATTAGAACTGGAATTGATGCTTGGCATCTCTTTCATTTGTAAATATTTCTTCTTGAACAATAATAATGTGATTAGAGATAAAGGTAAACTTATACATAATTATTCATTTAAATGATGCTGCATATGATTTATTTAGAATTTCATGTTAGGAAAATATCAATGATTTAAATTTATAAAGACATACATTTTTTGAAATGCGTCATTAATGATTTTACTCAAGTAATTTTCAGGATTTTTGAGTTGGGCTCACAATCACCCCTGTATAATGCATATTAAAATTTATGTAAGATAAAGAAAAGACTGGTTTATTTTTCTAAAATGAGGCAATGCATAATGCACTATATTTTGAAATATAATGAGAAGAGAAGATTTGATTATACGATTTTAATATTTATATTTGATTGATTCTAGGGTGGTGGAGGAATAACTTGTATCTTGGATGATGGGGATGTTTTTGAAAAAGCAGGTGTGAATATTTCTGTAGTGCATGGAATATTACCAGCTGGTGCCGTTCAACAGATGCGAGCTAGGTAAGTTAAGTTACCTGGATGACGCCCTTTTTTACAAATTAGTGTGTATTGTACATTTTATTTCTCTGTTCAAGTTATCTTTGTTTACAGTTTATGGGAACTATAAGTTAAGATAACTTTAGGGATGCATTAATGAAGATAACTTTAAGAATATGAGTTAAGATAAATCTGGGGAAGCATAAATTAAGTGTTTTAGTTCAACTCTAATTGTTTCTGTGAGTGTTGTACAATTTTTAAGGCTAATTTTTTTTATGGTTATGGAATGGCTAATTAGATGTTATATTTTACTTTTGTTACTATAATTTTTGTTTTCCTTGAGTTTTGTATGTTCAGTTATATAAGTGTCTGAAACTAAAGCAAAAAGCATTTAATTTTGTTGAAAGTAATTTGTTTGTATTCTTTTCAGGGGTAAAAAGTTTGCAAATAGTGATAAGCTCCCTTTCTTTGCTGCTGGAGTTAGCTCTGTTATACATCCAGTATAAACAACTTTTATTTTTTAAATTTTGAATTTTATTTTCTTCAAAACAAATTAATACAGATTTTCTTATTCTTTTCAGAGAAATCCAAATGTGCCAACCATACACTTTAATTATCGTTATTTTGAAGTGAGCAATGGAGATGGAACAACCACCTGGTGGTTTGGTGGGGGAACTGATATGACACCGTATATTTTGGATGAAGATGATTGTCGTCATTTCCATAAAACTTTGAAATCATGCTGTGATAAACACGATAAGTCATATTATAGTCGCTTTAAAAAGTGGTGTGATGAATACTTTTTCATTAAGCATAGAGGTATGTGTGCTTACAATTGTAACTCCATAGTTTTTATTATTATTATTCTTGCTTTCTTTTTGAAATTTTTTTATCTTTTGCTTATCCTATTAAAAAATTAATATTGTTTGCATTTAAAAATCCCAATTACATTTAGCTACATTACATTATATAGCTACATTATTATATGTTTGTTATTGATTTTTATGGTTAATTTTTATTTACTTTTGATACTCCAAGTTATTTTTTTCTTCAAATTTTTAAACTAATATACATTGATTTCATAAAGTTTACATTTAAGTATTTGTGAAATGTAATTGAGGAATAACTATAAGAAATCATTACCATTCAAATAATTTTTAATTAATAAACTAGAATCTGTTAATCAAATTTAAATATCTCATGGCATAAAATATGACAAAATGGGTAGCATTATTTAAAAGCAATAAAAAGTTGATAAATTCAAATAATTATAAATTTAAGGTAAATATTGATTTAAATTGAATATTATGAAATGCTTGCCTAAAATTTATTAAAAAAAAATATTACATTTTCTTATTTCTGCTTAGCTGAATAATTCTATTCAGATTCTTTTGATTGAAATTTCTTCAGTCTTTTTTTACTATATTTAGTTAATTTTTTTATAAATTAGAATATTTGTATCAATGATAAATCGTCATATCTTTTATTTTATTTGCCATGGAGTTCCAAATGAGTATCTGATGATTAAATAGGTATATTTTAGAAGTCAATATTCTAGATTTTTTTGAAAAATTCTTTTTAAATTTTTATTCCCTTTTTTAAAATAATTTAATTATTGATATAATTAACTGATTTTTTTATTTACAGCTGTGAAAATTTGATATAATGTTTAAATGTTTGAAAACTAAATCCGAACACTTATTTTAAAAAATATTTATGTTGTTGCTTTCTTCCCTCAAGATCAAAATTTCTGGATAATTTACTAAAAAAAAGAAATATTAATAAATAAATGAATAAAATAAAATAAAATTAAAGTTAATAAAACTTTCTTGTTTTACCTCACACTGAAATTTAAGAAAATAATTCTTCTGTGAAATTCATAATTTTATACATCTAAATAAATATTAAATAATGTTGATAGTTTTACTTAACTTTCTTGTTTACTAAAGCAAATAATTATAAAATATTTGTTATTAAATGTTTTTTAAAACTATAAAATTAAAGTTCTTATGTAGTAATTACTTCGTAAAATGTTCATAAAAATTACTTATTAATGACTGAAAGTTTTTTAGTTACTTTTCCTGAATATTTTCAAATGAATTTCCATTTGTTTTCAATGTTTCATAATTAATTAATCTAGATCTTAATTAAAATTTTTTTAACCTTTCTTCCATTTTTTGCACTTTTAACCATTGCATTTTCAGAAATTAAATATATAGCTATTCACTTTATTTATAGTGTATTGACACTATTATTAAAAAATAATTTTTTACTATAAATGTATTATTCATTTTTGTTAAATTTTGTTTTATATGTATGTACAAGTGCATTGTATATCTGTTATTTAGAAATTAAAGTTTAACATCAATGTTTTTCAAAAGTATTTTTGTAATATTTGTCATTCCCTTTTCAATAATTGATGTACCAAGTGAAAAAAAAATCATAACATATTAATAACTTTTGACCTAATGATAAGATTTTCACAGAATAAGATGCAATATTTATGGTCGGTTTCAGAGCTAGCGTTAAATATGCTAACTAAATTCTGCAGACACTATTCTAAGCTGCAAAATTAAACTGGATACCAGAAATAGCAGTGGAGACTGCAGTTTATTAAAGCATCTGCAACTTTATCTCAAATGTTTTGAAAAAAATTGACTAAAAATGACTGAGCCTTTTTTAAAACATCTCTAAACTTTTTCCTTATCAAAATTCTTAATCAGAGTTGAGAGAATCGTGCAGAGAGCAAAAAGTAAATAAAGCTTTTTTTCCTTCTGTTAGTTGATTACGGACGGATTTATTTTGCTTTTTTTGTTAATATCGCCACTCATTCAAATTAAGTTTTTGTCCCATTAAATTTTTATATATAATTTTTAAGTATCTTTGCAAATTTTGCTACTTATCTGATGAGCTAAATTTTTACAATACTAATCTCTATCTGATTGTGTTAGGGGTTGCAGATAAATTTGAATTTATAAAGATTAGACTGCAAATTTACTGCTACCATGTATTCTGCTACAGGGAACTCAAGAATGGGCTTTCCCTGAACAAAAATAACTTTTCATGATAGATTTGAATTTTTTAGTCTCAAAATGCAGGGGGTTACTATAATCTGGATGATACAGTTCCAATAGATCTCTAGTCAGAATATTGAGTTTTCATTCTGTGTATTTTCCTATGTCTCTGAAACTATTTAAGCTAATTCTTGAAATAATTTCATGCAAAATATGATTTTTCAAGCATCTTGAATTTGAGTAATGATAAATAATTATTTTTGGATTTATACTTGTTTTACAATTTATGCAAAAATTTTTGGATTTTACTGAACAGCCCCAGAGCTATGGATAATACCAACTAAATTTACTAAAAGTTAATTGACATGAAAGTATTCAAATTTTCAATAGTTCTTCTGACTTATTGGGGACATATTTTCTATATTTTGTTGGTCTTGAAATCAGCCATATCATTCAGGAATCAATTCTTAGAGAAACTACATTTTTGTGTCACTTAAAATATTGTCTGTATAAACTGATTATCATAATTAAGGTTTGCTTCCCATTTTGATTGGATCTTGATGGTAGGAAGGACTAATCTTATGCACCAATCTGGAAAATGGACAATTATAAGTGTTATGTTGTAATTAAATAACTTGATTAAAAAGAGGTTTTTAGTATTTTAGCTTATTATTTCTTTTTTGAAAAAGATAAAATTAATGCTGAAAGGTCTAAAGTATATGAAAATTTTTCGAAACATTTTTCATTAGAAATATTTTGAAATTATTTTTCATATTTTGAATAAATTATTTACTATCGGTATGGAAATAACTTATTAAGTGATTCAATGTGCTATTTTTTTATTATAATAGTGATATGTAATGTTATGCTTGGTATATGATAATAATGCTAAATATTTAACTTTTATATTAGATGCGCCTTGTATCTGTTTTCAGATCTGTTTACACGTTGGCTGTTTTTCCACTCGGAAAATCAATTTTCCCTATGTTATTCAATGTAGAAACTGTTTCTAACAAAAAATTTTGTGCAAAGTTCTACATAAGTATTTTTTTCCAGGCTTTCATCACTGTTAAACAAAAATGCTTGAAATTTGTAATTGTTTTTCTCAAACTCAGATTTTTCCCCCTTTATATTATTCAATGAAAAATTTGTGTTTGCCGAGGAAATTTTTCTTTGAAATTGCCAAAGTAGCAGAATAAATAAGAATAAGTAGTGTATTTAAACAAACAATTTATCATTGAATAAAAAAGTAAATAGTGTAATAATAATTACATATTAAAGTACTTGGTGCAAAAAAATTTATTTCCCAACCATGGTTTGCATTTTGTACAAAATGAAATTTGAAGCAATTTGTCATACTAATTTTTTATATTTTGCAGGAGAATGTAGGGGTGTTGGGGGAATATTTTTTGATGACCTGGATACTCCAGATCAAGAAAGCTGCTTCAAATTTATTTCTGTAAGTTTCTTTCTAAAGTTTTGAGTACTGTTTTGATCTTAAAATATTGAAAGTATTAACTTGCTTTTCAATAAATGTTAACTTTTTATTGTTTTTGCAAATTTTTGAAATTAGTATGAAATATTTATAAAATTTTTTTCACAATAATTATCTAATACAGTCAATTCGCTATAACTCGAAGTACGATAACTCGAATATTACTATAACTCGATTTTTTTATGAGGTCCCGACCCTTTTATCTTCAATTTCATGTTAATTATTCTTGATTACTCGAATTTTACTACCTTTAACTCGATTTTTTTTTGGATCTTTTAAAGCAAGGAAAAAAACCTAGGAGCTGATATCTTGCCCCTTCCTTTGCAACACACACACAATGTCTTTCGCACTCTTCATGGAAAAGGTAAAGCTGTCCCTCTTGAAGTATGTGAACAGTGGTTAAATGAAGCGTTACCAAATTTACTTCAAGGATACAGTTAAAATGATGTTTTCAATATTGATGAAATGGGTTTATTTTTTNAGGGAGAAATTCCCAGCGCAGGTTCAGGGCCCCAGAAAATTGCATTAGAGCCAGCCCGTGCTGCTTCGTCAGCTAGCTCATTTCCACCGATACCCATATGTCCTGGTACCCAATGCAGGGATACCTTGTTATGAGTGGACAGGTCACAGAGGACCGAGAAGCATTCCCACACTAACAAAGAGGTGAATTTACACCTTGACAGTGATAGGAGAGCAGCCTGACTGTCAGAACAGATGCGGATAGTCGTATTTTGATATCCTTTGTCTATGCATAACTTGCAGCACAAGATAATGGCATAGACCTCAGCCTGAAAAACGGTGGCATAATTTCCCAGGGGAAAGTGAAGTTTGGTACCATCATTGGAGCAGTAAATTCCTGCTCCTGATTTGGCACCAATCTTTGACCCATCAGTGTACCATATCAGGCATTTGCCTTTAAGCCACCGAGGAGAATTGAACCATTCATCTCTAGTAGGAAAATGGATCTTGAAGGGCTTGTGAAAAGCATATCTTAGTGACATAAAATCACTAGGCATAATAAAAGAGGATAAATCCTTCACTTGTGAAACAAGATGTCCCCATGACAAGTGTTTGGAATTCTCTTTCCATAGGCCAAGGTACATAAGACGCTTTACGCCTGTCTGAGCTTCAACTTCAATGCGTAAGTTCAATGGAAGAAGCCCAAGTAAGCTCTCTAGAGCAGCTGTAGGAGTGGTCCTGAGACAGCCTGACAGGGCTACACAGACCATTCTTTGTAGTCTGTTAAGATTAGACCTTGCGGAGCTCAATCTAGTCCTTGACCACCAGACGATTGCGCCATAAGTGATGATAGGACTAATAATCATTGAGTTTATCCAGTAGACTATTTTGGGGGACAGTCCCCATGTTCTACCAATAGCATTTCTTCAAGACCAGAAAATTTTTCTGGCCCTGTTGGTGCAGTAATACACTTACTAATACACTAATGTCTAATACACTTACATGGGTGCTGTGGATATGCTAATTTGCCCCTAACTATTTTGCTTGGTTTATTTCTGCATGCATAAAAAATAGGCAATGTCGTTTGCCTACCAAGTTTCTTAATCAGATGTGAATATAAAGTGTTTCATAATTATTTCTTGTATGGAGTAATAAGAGTTATTTAATTTTTTTGCAGCATTAAGTTAAATAATAATATCAAATCTCATTATAAAAAATTTTCATCGACAATAAAAAATTGTTATAAATTTCAATTAATATTCATTCTGATACTACTCTGAATGAAAATTTTCTTTATGAGTTAATGTTCTATTTTATGATAAGCGTAACACTTTATTTCACTAGCATATTTAAAACCTGTTTGTTGAGCATATGTTAATATGCTATGGCTAGCTTTGCCGTGAGCATATATGTTTGGAAGAAAATATTTTGCTTAAGATTAAGTTTAAAACTATTACTAAAGCTATTTTTAAATTTGAAATCTTCTTACTATATTGTACAAATAACTTGGAACAAAATGAAAAAAAAATGTCCTTTTTCTAAATTGAACCTTTGGTTATATAAAGTTCATATTTATATCATCCAGTCCATCGTCGTATCATTAACGAGTAACATTATATTTATGACTGTTGAGGCTATGTGATAGCATCAATCTACATTCAAATATGATTTTATTTGGATGTAAATTGATGCTTTATTTAAACTGATGAAGGCAGCTTATCTTCCTTTTGTAGTTAAGAGCTTTTATAAGAGGTTTAGGTATTGAGTACATTGATAAGTACATGCATTCTAAATTTTTTTTACAGTGAAACCAAATTTTAATAGCATTTATTTTAGTCATCCAGTCTATCTTACCTAGCAAATTTTTAATATACAGTCTATTCTTTTCAGTTCGGCTCCCATTAGTCCGATTCTTAGTCCGCTACATTAAGTTCCATTCGCTATTCCTTAAATATTATGTTATTTTAACGGCCGTTAGAACGTCTGTTACAGAACCATTCATTCTAATATAGCAATCAAAACTTTGTTTAATTTTTTTTATTCCCAGGAAATCACTTTGAAAGCAGGTGTTAGACATTTTTGCACTTTCAACATTGATATTTTTTTTACTGACAATGAGTCTATCAGTGACAAAAGTCTTCAGAAAACGATTAAAGCCTCTATTTCTTTTGATGTTGTCGCTCAATAAACATGAGACATTTTGAATTCTTTATTGTGAGTGATAGGACCACCTATTCTAAACCTAGGAGGTCCTAGGCATAATCTGTAGTTCAAAGAATTGTGAAATATGGATTACTTATCATTATTGAGAATTAAGCATTTATTGCAATGTCATTTAGAAATCAGAGTTTCCTGTATAATCGTCAAACTTTTTTTTTCAATGGCTTCAATTTCATGTGTCACATTTTTCTTGTTTAAAAATTGTATTCACTCTTTTAGTTAGTTTGTTTGAGTTAAAACACATTTTATTATTTGCATTCTTATTTATATTAGTTTTGCTAATTTTCTGGATGTATGTTATTTAACAAAAATGTCTACTTTTAACTGGTGTAATGCATATAGTGGAAATAATTTTCTTTTAAAGGAAGTGGGTAGAATAATAACAGACATTAACACATTTTATCTGCAATTATTAAGAATCTTGATGTGTTTTCTGAAGGGAGAGCATGTGATTAGAATATTTTGTTGTAAATTGTTCTGATTCCATGACATCATTCTCATGAAGCAAAATTTAGAAAAAGCCCTGAATGACTGACTAAAGTTTATGCGCAGTATTAAAATATGTGATTTAAAAAATTGAAATCTATTTTCAACCCTTAATGAACTATTTTAAATAATACTTTTGCTTTATTGATATAAAAAATTGATTACTGGTCAATTTCATAATTCTATTTAAAGTGTGGCATGTTTTTGTCAAAATAAGTCCTGTATTTGTGAAATATAAGTAATATTTGCACAAATTTTATGTATTCATTGCATAGCGATCTTTCCTTACAATGTCTAGTTTTGTTTGGACCACAGAAATCATTATATTGAGCGTCATTGACTTTTTTACAAGGTCTAAAATGGATTTAGGCTAGAAGAATTCTCGTATAAATCAAGCATCATTATTTTGAATTTTCAGTATGAATCTTTTTACTACTTTTGAACAGTGAAAAGAGACCAAATCATGGGCAAATTTTACATAAATTTTTGTATGAATGGAATAATCCCACTTGATTAAATTCATCTGGCCTCAGAATAAAAACTAGGCTTACAGCACCGTCTGTTGAAAAAATAAAACCATATACATTTGTATCAGGTTTTGTTTCTAATACAACTGTAAAAAAATTAACCTGTCGTAATTAATTTTTACTTTTATAGCATTATATAAATCAGAATTTTATGGCATGTTGTTGTCCTGTTCATCTTACCTAAACAAGATATCAGGTTGTGTTTCTAATACAACTAGAAAAAAATTAACCTGTCCCAATTAATTTGTACTTTTATAGCATTATATAAACCAGACTTTTATAGCATGTTGTTGTTCTGTCCATCTTACCTAAACAATTTTCAAATTATCTTAGTAGTTCTCAATTGAATTTAAGCCTGATGAAGCCCATGCAAATCTATCATCATTACTTTGATTTTCCGCTATGAATCTCTTGACTACTTTTGAACTATGGCAAGAGGCCAAAACTTGGTCAAATTTCACTCAAACGTTGGCATGAATGGAATATTCCTACTTGATTAAATTCATCTTGCCTCAGAACAAAAACTAGGCTTACAGGACCATTTGTTGGGGGAAAAAAACCTTAACAATTGTTTCAGGTTAACTTATCCTAAATAAATTATCCTACAGATTATATCCTTAACTTATCCTAAAATTAACTTATCCTAATTAATTAGTGAGAGTTTTTCACTTCAGAAATCAGAATTTTTTTCCTAATAATGATTATGATTTACAAATATATTTATTTCTGATTTCTCTTTTCTATGTAGTTGTGAAAGTGCAGAATAAAACTGGATAAAAAACTATTATTTATCTCATTATATTACTTAATCAGCCAATATGCTGCTGGTAAAAAAATTAGAAATTATCTCTATGAATGAAGTTTTAAAAACTTGAAGCCGTTTAAATTGTATTTTCAGTTAAATAAATAATTAACTCAAATTCACTAACATTTGTATAAAATTATTGAATTAAGTTGGTCTGAACAATTTGTTTGTTTTTAATATTATGAAATAACAATGCAGTAGTTTTTGCTCTATTATATTTTGTACAATTTTTATATAATCATATTGTTCTGATTATTGTATTGTTTTTTTACTTTACGTTAGATTATTTAAACTATTTTATTTGGAAAAAAGAAGAAACATTTTATAATTAGGAGGCATGTTGAATTCCATGGTTTATGATTTTTTTTTTTTTGTAAATCTTAATGCAAATTTTATACATAAGTTTTTTAAGAAAAAGTCTACTCATAAATATCTACTAAATGTCTTATCGTTTATAATAGAACGTTAATTTTTTTTTCTTTTTTAGGTTTTTCATTGCTGTTATCTATAAAATGTATAAATATTTTTTTTGTTGAAAGAAACATACTATACATTGTTGTGTTCTTTTCGAAAACTAAGATTTAATAATTAAGAGTGTAAATATTGAGTTAATTTTGTTCATGAAATGTACTTATCTGTAATTATTAGTAATCTTTTTCATGATTTTTTGATCTACTTCTATTGATAAATTCTTTTGAAGATTCATTCATCTTTAATTAACTTTTTTTTAGTTTTTTTACAGAGATAATAGCGAACTGTAATATTCACATTTAATTGTGACTATAAAGTAGTCAATCAGAAATAATAGTATTTTCTCTGTGATCAAAGTTGGTATCATTTCGGGCTTTTTATAATAATTCAACTTTACATTAAACAAAATTATAAAAATATTTGTATCATAGAACTGGTTAATTAGGCTAAATTAGTTCAGTAATAGATAATAGCTAGAATTTCTAATGGTATTTTATTTTCATTTTTCTTATTGATCATACATTTATAATGCATATTATACTATTATATCATATATAATGTTAACTAATTATTTTTTATTATGTATTTTTAATGCACATATATTAAATTGTTTTGTTCATTTAGACCTGTGCTCAAAATGTGATTCCTAGCTATTTACCAATTGTTCAGAAGAACAAAGATAAGGGTTATTCCTATGCAGATAGACAATGGCAATTAATAAGAAGGGGAAGGTAAGTTTTTAAAAAAACATTTTGTACCTTTTTTTAATTAATTATAATTATTTTCTACTTAATTTTTTTATATTCTATGATTTCAAACAATTGTTTTTATATTGTATAAAATCAATGGTTTTTAAATACTATTTTGAATTAATTTACATGATCTAAGTTTTTTATTATTCTTGATGAAAATTTAACTGGAGCATATTGGAGGAAAAATTTTCTAATTGTTTAATTTGTTGTTATTTTTTTTAATGTTATTCAATTAATTAAAAAAAGCATTCAGTATGAGAAATTTGCATAATTAAGGCTTTCAAATTAATGCAATGAAGCCATACTTTAAATCTAAGTCAAAAAATAGGTAAATATAATAGTGATTAAAATAGAAAATACACTGTAGATCTCTGAAACCTTATTTTTACTGCTTACAACCATATTAAAAAACTGTTATATTTAAAAATTTAACTTATTTTAGTTGAGGCTTTTAAATTACAAAATTATCGATTGATCAGTAAAGATGGGGAATAAAATATTCCAGACTTTTCTTTTCAAGCAGCTTCTCATATAGTATCTTGGAGAGAATTCACTGTTCATTGTTATTCTTTGAGAAATATTGAAAGAATTCCATTGTTCTTATATTTTATACAGCTAATCTAGGTTTATGATAATTTAATAAAGGTAACATTAATATTGGTGAGTAATAGCTTGAGAAAGTGCCAAAAATAACATTGTTGATTAATTTTTCGTTCATTTATGTTGAAATTTGTAGTTTAATTGTTATGTTTATTTTAATAAAATCTTCATATAAGTGACTGGACAATGTTTCAATTCGTAGTGATTTGATTATTTTTAGATATGTGGAATTCAATTTAATCTATGATAGAGGAACTAAATTTGGTTTAATGACTCCAGGAGCCAGATATGAAAGTATTCTTATGTCTTTGCCATCTATTGCTGTAAGTTACTTTGTATAATAGTTTTCTTTGATGAATAATATATTCGTTCATTTATTTTTATTAAATTTCAATTATAACATTATGTTACAAGCATGAATTAAAAAGTTGTGTGTATTTTTAAAAAAATGATGTTACATATGTTTACAAAAAAATTATTTTCTTGTTGATTTTTATAAAATATTTATTGATTGGATATTTTTACTTTCAAGGTGTTACAAAAATAGGAAATGAGAATCAATTGTTAATTTTTAAATGCTATTTATTATCATAAAGATAAATTATTATTCTAGTTCATATCACATAAGACATAAAATTATGTATAAAGTATGTATTTTTATGTATTCTTATGTACTTAAAAATATAATGCTCACATGTTTATACTGTTGAAAAGTATAATTTTCGCATGATTTGATAGTCATAGTTTCTAAAAAGTCCAGTGTGTAGTTTTAAGACAAAAATGCTGAAAAGAATATAACTTTCTCCTTTCTAACTGAAGTAATTTTTTTAAATAATTTTATTGATATTTTTTTTGACTCATTACAAAAAGTACTTGCTAAGCATCCAAGTGGGATTTTTGTTTCACTTAATATTTTATTGTTTTTCAAAAGTAAATTAGTGTAAAGCATTTGTTATTACATTGACAGAATTTTTTTTTTTTGATTTATTATTCATACTTAATTGATCTAATGATTTTTGAGGAGTAATACGTTTAAGTTGCATACCTCAGACTAAAAGATATTTTTAGTTGTCCTGAAGCTATACAAGCATGTGTATGACTATTTTTTTATTTATTTATTATTATTTTTTTGAAGTTTAAAAAACAAGTATTTTAACTTGATAGTGTTACCATTTCTGTAAGATTTCTTTTTGATAAATGTAGCCTGATGTATGCAAATAAATAAAATAAAAATTTAAAAAAGTGCAGAAACAAATTAATAAAAAGCAGAAATCTTTTACAAAATAATTCTTTTTATCATATATTTATTGTATCAACTTTGTGTTAAATCATATTAAAATATCAGCCTGGTTAATTTTATTTAAATTTATTTGTTAGTATAATGTTTCTTCTGACTTGAAGCTAGACTGTTACCCACCATGCCAAAAATAAAGTATATATAAAAAATAAAATATGTAAAATTAGTTTTCTTGTACACAATAAGAACAACACTTATTTTCAAATTAATGCTAATGTAATAACTAATAACTAGTGTCAAAAAGTTGGAGTTTAATAAAAGTTACGGATTAACAAAATAATTAAAAATAAAAAATTGAATTATTAAACATATTAACAGTTTATGAGCTTTTCTAATTTATTCATCTTGATTTTAAACTTAATAGGATCATTGGCACAAAATGTATTGTTTTGCTACCCCATATGATGAACATTGTTTGTTCTTACGGCATGATTGTAAAAACAAAAATTGCTCTATTTTCTATTGACTCGGCAATTTGTTTACTTAATTTGCACATAAAGATTTTGTTTGAATTCTTAACCCTTTGAGTGTTAGCTTTTCACAAACTTTAAGCTACATGTTACCTTATATCAAAAACTGGTTTTTCCTCATTTGTTCAATAAGAGTTTCAATACTTGGAAGGTTAAACTTCTGTTTTCTTCAAACATAGACGAAGTTAATATAGTTGAGCACACTTATGATGAAAAAACCAAGCATTTTGCTTGTTAAATCAGAGTGCTCATTAAATCCAAGTTGGTCGAAATTATCAGAAATTACATTATCAAAAATTTTTATTTAAGAACCACTTATTTTACACCACATTAATTAATTAAAATAAAACTTGAATTTTTTGTGATTGAGCCTTGTCAATTGTTAGTAGGTTTAATACTAATAGGGCAAAATATCTTATTAACACCAAAAATTTTGCAATTTCTTGGCTAACTCTATGTTTTCAGGGGTAGAGGATCGTATCATTGTCATTTTTCTTTCACAAATATTTGACTAGGAACAAGCACATGAGAAAAAGCAGTGATAAAATCTGTTCAATAGTTTGCATAGCAACATTATCTGCTATTACAATTGCCAACTACTCATAATTTCATATCAACCATTGTCACTCTTTTGCTCTGTAACTTCAATTTGAATTTTCTTGGAATGACTTATGATGTGAACTTCACATTGTTATTTTTTATTGCTAACCTGCATACTGGTCAAAAGAGTGTTTTTAAAACTGTTTTAAGAGAAGGGAATTTCCGGCTATTGACAAATACTTTTTTTTCCTTGCTACTTCAATAAAATAATTTTAAACACGTTTATGTAAAATTCCTCGTTAATTTCTATTTATGTTTGTAATGACAACATTTTATCAATACTTTTTAAAATTGAACCAACCATTAAATAAAAATATAATCATTCAGTAAGGGATCTTGTTAAATTACAGCCCATAATAAATGATCTTGACTAAAATAGAAAGCTTATAATTATGTTTTATTTCAAAATTCTTAATTTGCCAAATCTGTTATAATTTAAACTTCACTTATTTATGTATGTTTTTAAATTTATATAACTTTTTGTAAAAAAAAAAGGGAGGAAAAAAAAACTAGTTTTTAAGCGTGACAAATCATAATTACGGAATCAAATTTATATTTAAAAATAATAACAGAATTATATTGAAACTATTAATTTTCATTTAAGTTCAAAGCAAGATTATGAAAATTGTGTAAACGATAATACAGTCAATCTTTGTTCTAAAAAATTAATATATAATATTTCAAAATATACTTTGATGATTATTGTGGAGTAGCAATGTTACTATACAATAAATGCTACTGTTGAGAATGTGCTTAGTTTGTGTCACTTCAGGTAGGGTTGCATTGTTAATGCTTAAGTTTTGAAGTAAATAAATTTTTGACAAAAATATAATTTTAGCTTTATTGTGCGAAAACTAATTTTTATTAAAAGTTTTTTTTTGATGTAATAATTTACTTAACTAAATTAAATTTTTCTGATTCAATTATAATTCTGAAGAAGAAATAGCGTCAAAGTTTTTTTGTTTGTCTTTATTTGAGCGCTAGTGTAGTAAGATTGCCATAAATTTTGAATGTTGAAAATTGATTTATTTATTTTTGTTTCGTATGGGTGTTTTTCAAAGCTCTTCTTTTAAGGAAAAATTTAGAAAAAAAGATCATATTTTCTTGTTTGAAACTGAATTGCAAAGAGAATCAAGAAAATATTTACTCTTGTTATTAAATATGACCATCATATTGAAGCTCTTATCCATCACCTAAATAAAATTAATTTGTTTTTGTGGACTCCTAAAATCATGTGGTTTTTTTATTTATTCCAAGATCATTTTGACAATGTCATTTTTACTGTGTTTTAGCTTATATTTTTATGAATCAATGAGTTCAAAAATCAGTCATCTTCAACAAAACTAGTTTTACAGGAAAGAAAAAAACTGAATACCTAAGTACCAGTTTCATACAGAGAGTTATTATTATTTTTTAATAACAAAGTATGACTGGTTACAAAATATTCTATTTCAATTGTGCTATAACATCGCTTAATTTTTTAAATTTAAAAACTAGTTAGAACTTTCAGATCACAGGTTTTCTTACAAAACCTTAAAACAAATACTATACATTATTTTTTACTAGCAAAAATATTAATAATTGTTCTTTAGAAATGAAAGAAAGACTTTATTGAAGTCTTAGACAACATATTCATAGATATTTATGTAGATTCAGATATCTTTTGGATTGTGTCTAAATGTACTGGGTCACTTACAAGTTTCTTCATAGAAAGACTAAAACTCATTTGATTTGTATTGTAAAAACTTTTTTGATGTTAGTAATTTTCTTGTGGTTTATGGCAACTTTTCCGGAATCTGCATCCTTAACTGATTATGCTGCCACTTTTAGGATGTTTTTTTCATACAGAGTAAATATTAATTTACATAAACCACCAATGAATACTTCAACTTCACCAGATGCTGTGCTTTTGAAAGTAAAATTGCTGTAATGTGACCCCTGAAATTGTTGTGTTTCCTTTCTTGCTTTTCCATAAGAGCTTTTTGATAACATATTTTTCTTATAATGGCTTTTGAAATCAGGTATCATATTATTTGTAGTTACCTCCTTTACAGTTCATAATTACACTTATCCCTTTTTATTATCATGCATATACCATCTGAAGAATTACCATCTGAATCACTCATTGTGTGATAAAAAGCATAAACAAAATAACAAGCATAAATTAAATAATTAATTGTTAGGCTATGGGAACAATTTTATAAGCATTAATGGTGTATTTCCAAGTTTTTACAAGAAAAGGTCATCTCCATGATATGGCATGCTTTTGAACTAAATCGATATTTTACTGTACAAAATATTCTGTAGCAAGAAAGAGTAAATTAACTTTTATACCCTAACTACGTCAACTAAACTTAAAATGCAAGAATATCAATCTTGAAAAAAAGTGATGACTGGTTTTCAGACTCATTGACTCAAATGTATTTTGGATTTGTAATGTATGACTTTTTATTTCAGAGTGTATGAATTAATAAAACTATGATTTTTTTCCTTTTTTTTTTTTTTTTTAGAAATGGCAGTATTGTCATAGTCCTGCTCCAAACTCAAAAGAAGCAAAATTATTAGAAGTTCTGAAAAACCCGCGTGATTGGGCATGATAAATAATTCAAACTTTATTAAATAGTAAAATTGAAGTTAGTTTGAAATTGAAGTTACATATGTTTTGTAAAATAGGAACATTGTAAATATGATTTAGTTGCATCTATGAGAAAAATTTGTTATTTTAATAGAAAATTTGTTATTGTACTTAAATATAATTATGACTGAGTTTGTAAAGATGAACTTTTTGTATTGTTTTCTAAAGCAAAATTTGTTATAAAGAACTATATTTATGATTATGTTGTTTTTTGATATTATTTTTTTCATAGATTGGATTTTTACTTTTTATTTAAATTAATGCTTCCTGCACTGTGCCTAAATTAATACTGCAATGCAGTTTTTTCAAAATGAAAATAATTACATCCTCTTGTTTTCATTATATACACATACACTTTAACAGGACAATAAATTAAGAGTTTAAAATTTATTAATTAATAAAAATGATTAGTTTGTTTAAAACATGAAATTTAATTAACACATTCATGTCCGCAAAAGTGCTTTCTAAAATTGTACCAGTTTTACAAAGCAAAATATATTAATACAACTGTGTAAAAAGTAGCAATAAAAAAATGAGATTGAGTTTTTCAATAACATTATCTAATCAATTAAAAACAATGCCAAAAATATAAAAGAATATATACAACGAATAAAAAGTGAAGAGACAGAAGAAATGTTGCTTTTAGGAGTATCGTAAATAAATGGTTTGAAAAACTGTAACTGTGTCGTAAAGTTAGAAAGTATAAATTTAATGCATAATATAGCGTAGTAAGAAACATTATTTTCACTAAAATGTATCTTGTTCTTTAGACATGTTTGACCTCTTATAAATTTAAAAATTTATTTCTGTGATTTATTTTCAATAAAATAATTATTACAAAAGAGCGCAAACGAAATTTTTGTTTTTAATCACATTGTTTTTTTTCTTTTCTTTAGTCTACATAGCACAAAGTATACCCTTTCCTTTGTTGGAAAATAATAAAGATATATATGTTTAACAATTTCCTCTTGAATTTCAAAGTTATTTCACTTATAATAAAACATTGCTAATTGCATATCATTGTTTATAAAAAAGTAGTTTTTGCATAATTTGAAATCTCACAGAGAGTATTTGCAAGTTTATAGTAAGTAATATAGTAAGTTTATAGTAAGGAATTACTGCAAATTTAATAGTTCTGCAATTTAAAATTTTGCATTTCAGGTCCATTTTTTGTATGTTGATTATCTGATTTTGTGTATTATCCTTATCTGATTCTTGTAAACTAAAGAGTTTTTTTAAACTTTTTTTTAAAGTTTTCCTTAAAGCCTTGTTTTCTTACTATCAAATAAATAAGATATATTTACCCAATTTTAATTTACCCCATAAGGTATATTTACCCCAACCCAATTTTTTTTCAAGCTATATAGTATGCTTTCAAAAATAAGTTTTTAAGTGAAGACAAGACTGGGTCTGGTAATACAAATTGCTTGCAGATTCGCTCAATGATCTCTATCTTGATAAGTGTTTTTCTCAGAAGTTCAAGAATGATTCATTTCTATAACCTACTATAGAATTTTGCATTAGTCTATTATGATAGAAAAAAATGGCTTCTATAAATGAAGCAAAAACTTATATTTTCCATAAGTTGGAAAATAATTATTGAATGATTTTAAATTGAGAATTCAAACCGTTCTTATCCTACATAAAAAATAATAAGTTATTACGCAAAAGATATTTTTAATAAATATCTGTCAGGCATTATTTGTATTGTCATTGATCAAATGCTGACATTATTTTATAATTATTTATTTATAGCAATGTACGAATGATGAATTTTTATCTTGCTAAACTAAAAAAATACTAAACTAAATTCAGTGGTGCAATAGCCCATTGAGGTCCATAGNCTTCACTGGTTGGTTTACCCTAATATAAAATATTCTGTCAGCTGACTCAAAAATATTTTTGGGAGTGAAATAAAAATATTCTAAATAGCTTTAAAAAAATCTGAGGTTCATTGTTTTCTCCTTGTTACTTTAACAATTGAAACTTAATGGTTTGTATTTTTTGCCAAAATATTTCCGAAATAGTTGATGTTATAGCAAAAACAAATTTTTCAATAATTGGTCCAATTCTGATTTCATAGTGATGCCAAAAGCTTCATTAATACATACACCATTCTACAATTAATTTTTGAACTATTCAAAATGTATTCTTCTATCAAACCTTCTTTATGAATATTTGTTATAAAGTGAAGTTTGATTTGGTGAAAATTTATGTTTTAAGGAATAATAAGTTTCTTTTCTTATTATTATTAGTGTTTCTTTTTCAAATCTTTTATTACCTGATATAACAATGATACAAATTTTACTTCATATGCATTTCTAATGGTTTACTCTGTGTGCGTGTTATCTGCAAGTCTTAACCCTTTGATGCAAATGGGATACCAGTGTTACTTTTGTAGGATATTTTACTGACGCTCCAGTTACAAGCAAAAATATATTTTAGTATTTTTTAATTATAAAAAGCAGTTTAATAGTTACTAAAAAATCTGTTGTACTAAAATATAAAGTACCAAAAATGGAAGTCTGAAAGAAATTTTTTTCATCTATATTAAGAAATTTATCAGTAATTGATTTTTGTAAATTAAAGAAGTTTCACTGATGAATAATTTGTATTTCTCAGATCTAAATAACTGCAAATTTGAAAAATAATTGTTTGGAAGATTTTATCTTTAATACAGAAAAAGACACTGGTGTTGTTACATGTTGTATTTCACAACCATAAATTATTAAAATGCTAACTATAATATTTTCCACTTATTTTGACCAAGTTAATACAAAATAATGAAAAAAGTATGTAAAATATGTTTAATAAAAATTCTGTGTCATAGGGTTAATGATTTTTCGTGCTTTATTGCAGCTTTTATACTGCTTTTGCTCATATCTTCTTCTGTTACATCGGGTATCTTTTGCTTTTTTTTAAAAAAATAAGTTAAACCATTCTGTCTTTACTTTACATATAGTAGTATGAATAAAATAAGCATTTGTGAAAATGGTTGCAAAAATATGTTTAAAATGAAGTTTATGCTAATTTATATACCTTGTTTTTAATATAGCTGTTTATTTTGAAGTTTACAATTATAAATGATTTTAATTAAAAGAAATATTTCAAAAACTAATTGTTAAAGTGATTATATTTTTAAAATTTTATTGTCAGAATGTGGTTTAATTTAAAAATCTGATGCATATACTTTTTCTGTTTGTTCAAAGGTTTCCCGTCGCATTCAGTTTAGATCTATCAAAAGAACAACTCTATTTTTGGGAAGTATGTTCTTTAATGAGTACTATGTACTTTTTGTACTCCATAGATGACCCAGCCATCTATGGAGAAGCCATGAAAATAGCATCATGAGAATCGTCACTGTTAAGAACTCCAAGGGGTCACGTCCTAGAGGCAGGCCCCTTACTAGATGGCTAGAGTTGCCATGGAAGGAGGCACTGGCATTTGTCAGCTGATGAGGCAACCAAGGCCTGCAAGGGGCTGTTGCGCTGACCAAGAAGAAGATGTACTTTAATAAAATGAGTAATATAATTTAAAACTATGGCGTTCAGTTTAACAATACAACAATTTTATTTTCATAATTTTGGACTTAAAAGTTAAAAACGTTGCTTGCCTGATAACTGCAGCTTTCTAGTTAAATAGTTTAATTTGACTTATTAAATTATATGAGCAATAAGTGCTTATTCCTATATTTAAACAAAGTAATTAATTTCAATGATACAATTTCAGATTTTTTAAGCCTCCTGTCTTCCTTTTTCTAATCGATTCTATTGTCCTCAATCTATCTTCCCAAACTACATTAATTATACAGACTGCTTCAATTATTTATTTATTATTAAAAACTAAACTCAGTGGCGCGACAGCCCATAGAGGGCCAAGGCCTACTGTGCCCATCTCAGTTTTCTTGNTTTTAAACTAACTTCCCAACTAGCTACAGACTTCAAATTTGGCACATAGTTTCAGAATTGGATGACAATGCTTGAAAATGAAGAGAAAAAAGACATACCAAGAAAAATTAAAGAAAATATAATATTTTCGCGATTGTCTTTTGTTGTCGATTCGATTATTTCAAATTAGTGTCACATGTCAGTTGAAAAGTTTTGTGTACAGTGAGTGAAAAAATTGAGTACAAAATAAACAAGTGAGTACAAAATAAAAATGATATTTTTAAAAACCACGTTTTTGTAGTGGAGAATAATAACTAAAAAACGAAAACCGTGGGGCGCATGAAATACATAACAGTACATATACACATACATATACCCATTTTCTTACTCATGTACATCCACATATACATGCATATACACAAACATATTCCACATCCACATTCAGATACAATTACAGATATACATACACATATTCTCATGAGCACACATACTGTTATTGTTATGTAATTCATGCGCCCACTACAAAAACGTGGTTTTTAAAAATATTATTTTTATTTATTTTTTTATTTACTTTTACAGTTTTTGAGAGAGTAAGGTTATTATTGCCTTTACTTAAGAATAAATCGAAAAAGAATTTTTTTTACTATTTTTTAAGAGAATAAGGTTATAACTGAATTGAATTAAATATGAATAAATCGAAAGTTGTTCGATTAATGTAAGAGAGCAAAGACAACTTTTTAAATATATTGTATTTGTTGTACTTATTATTTTGTATATTTGTATCTTTTTATTGTCAGAGTAGGAGACAGCCTAATATATTTATGAGATATCCGGGTATTTTCTTCTCTTTCTAATCCTACTAGGTTTTATTTATTTATTTTTTTGTTTGGAGAAAGAACTCTTCCTGAGTGATTTATGGATTTTGGCGAAAAAGGAAGAAAGCATATCTTGTGCACTGCGAATGTTCTGAAGACCCTGGATACATCATAAAGTGTGTGTAAAGCCCGTTCTGGTATATGTGTCTGTGAAACATGATACTTTTTCTGCTGAGGATAAAAAAACCTTTCAGAATGGAAGAAAAATTTCCTTTTATTTATATGTAGTTAATTCTTTACACTCCGTGATTCCATACAATTCTTTACACTTCATTTATTCTGACGTTATTATACTTGACACACTTAATTAAAAAGTGCAAAAAAATTATCTGTATCACTTTTAACGAATAATCGATGCGTTTGCATCACACCTGGCGGACTAATCGAAATATCTTGTGTGTGAACAGGCTTGGAAACTACGCTCAAGTAAGCAGCATTGT